TGCAGGCCTGTCTTTTTCCCCTTTGTCTGGCTAAAGGCATCAGTTTTCAGGAGGAATTTCTTTATGGATGGGTGTCAAGCTCTGACTTGGCTTGAGCACCAAGCTCCCTGAGGTGACGTCAGCATTCCACTTAGTTTGGCGGATGACTGGCCACTGCGTGTTCAGCACTGGGTCAGTGCTTAGCGGGATCTCGGACCAGGATCAGTCACGTCTCCAAAGCTCAGGATACTTTCTGTTGGACTGGAACAATGAGACTGACATGATAACTAGACAACCAGCATGATTCTACTCTAAGTGCTCTTGGGGTCACAGACTGGGGTACTTAGGGAGGGCTCTGCTCTCTGCAGTTGCCAGTCTTCGTGCTCAGGGGAATTCTAAGGGCAAGGGAAAGGACTTGAGGATAACCTAAGCCCTGTGTAAACAGGCTGGGGGGAAACACAGAACAAAAAGATCAATGGAGGTTTATGATCTCAAACGTGGCCTTTGAGCAGAGCACTCGGGGCTACCACGCAGCTTTGAAGCACAGGTTTCAGACAACCATGCGCTCCTGCTGCCCCCTGCTGGCCGATGGGGAGTAAAGCAGCACCAACTGGCAAAGCCGCTCAAGAGTGTTAGATTTACCTAAGCCACACCTGGTGCTATTGTAATTTAGTGAATCCCCTGTTGCTAGAACACTTTTGGTGGCTGAACATGTTTTCAAGGGTAAGTAGCAGAGTATCCCAGAAAGAGCTCTGGCTTCTGCCTGCAGGGCTTCCTGACTGGGCTAGGTGGGTCTGAGGTCCGCTAGCCCTGCATTCTATGACTCTAGGAAGAAACAACACAGGAAGCATATAAAGATGTATAATGGATGCAGATAAGCTGGTTATGGGAGGGAAACATTTTATGTCTTGACTAAGGTAGGACCACCTGGTCAGATGACATACAACAGGGTGAAGCACTGAACATTTCTTTTTTTTTTTTTTAATTTTTTTTTTTAAGATTTATTTATTTATACATACAGAACTGGGATACAGGCCAAACGTGCAGGGGTGGGGGGTGGGGGGGGAATGAGAGGATTCACCAGAGACAGAGTGGGGAGCAGAACAGACTGACTACGAAGTACACTGCTGAGGGGAGCAGTCTTGAGAGGTCTGCTGTGCCATGTTGGTCTCCGTGCAGGCGGGGATCGAACTCATGCGGAAGTGGCTTAAGCTTCTTAGTGCTGTGCTTTAACCCGGTGCGCCACCAGGGAGGGCCGAACATTTCTTTTTTTAAGATTTATTTATTTATACATACAGAACTGGGATACAGGCCAAACGTGCAGGGGTGGGGGGTGGGGGGGTAATGAGAGGATTCACCAGAGACAGAGTGGGGAGCAGAACAGACTGACTACGAAGTACACTGCTGAGGGGAGCAGCGGGTGTGTCAGGAGAGGTCTGCCATGCCATGTGGTCACCTCCAGGGCCTGGGATGGAACTCACTTGCAGTGCTGTGCCCTAATCCGCTATGCCACCAGGGAGGCCAGCACTGAACTTTTTTTTTTTTTAATAATATGTCAGTTTATTTTTACATCGTTTTGTGTCTTTTCCAACTCAGTTGTAATCCCCATGGGTTTCCCATCACCAAATCACATGTGTGCCATCACCATAGTCCAGCACTGAACATTTTTCTTTTAAAGATTTATTTATTTGTGCATACAGAACTGGGGTACAGGCCAGAGGCTCAGGGGCGGTGAGAGGCTTCACCAGAGACAGAGTGGAGAGCAGAAAAGGCAGATCGATGAAGTACACTGTCGAGGGGAGCAGGGTGCGGGTCAGGAGAGGTCTGCCACGCCATGTGGATCTCCTCCATGTGGATCTCCCCCCGGGCAGGTGGGAATCGCACTCATGCTGAAGTGGCTTTAGATTCTCAGTGCTGTGCTTTAACCCGCTGCGCCACCAGGGAGGGCCAGCACTGAACATTTTTAAAAGACTGTGCTTTCCAGGACTTGCATTGATTGTGGAATCTTCCCTTTGGGTTAGTCAAGCAGTTTAAAATGTAAATCATTCTCTCTTTTGGGGGTGAAGTTTACTACTGGAGTCTCCTCTCCCTGGGCTTCTTTGCTTCTCTAAGACTTAGCCTTGAAAGGAAAATACTACTTAGCGTTGCTTAAGGTTCTTTCTGCAGGCTTCCTGGCATTTTACATCCTGTCCCCTAAAGAGTGTTTGGAGCTGGATATGAAAGTGAAGCACTCTGTCATATATATAATAATAGACACATGTGATTCTTTTCTTGATATCATGGCCACTGTCCTCTCTAGAGATTCTTTCTTCTGGTGTGGTGTCACAGCTGAGGACTGGACACACCTCAGTGAAGCCAGTGTCTTTCTTCTTCCAGGGAGGGGCACCCCCATCTCCCTCAGAAGCTGGTCAGTAAATGTGGAAGCCTGTGCTGGTTCCTGTGCACAGTGTGTTGCCATCCCCACAATCCTGACTCCCACTGCAGGGAGGTTTGGGAGCTACTGGCTGCCGCTTCTGACCCAGAGGCCTTGGCTGACCTTCCAGGCCTGGCGTGTGCTGTGTGCCTAACCACACCTCTGCCCGCCGTGCCTTGTTCCTTTCAACACTGATCCCTTCTCGCTATACTTTGTCTCCTGTGTAGATTGTAAATGGACATTAAGTGGTTGAGGGAGATGTGAATGAGGGTGGTGTGAAGGCGTGGGAGCCCCACCAGGTCCAGAACCCCTTGGCCTTTTCTGATGATGAGGAAGAAGACCTGCTGGAGTTCATGTACAAGTATAAGGCACCTCGAAATACAACGGTGATCCCCCTGGAGGTACATGGTGTCTGGGGCTGTGGGTTGGAGCATGTGTTTGTTTGCCCAAGGGCTTTGCCCTGGAGGTCTGGGGGTCATGGGAGTGGCATCTCTTGGGGGCACCCTGCACCCCTTCAGTGATTGGGGTCAAATCTCCCTCTTTCAAACCATTGGGTAGCATCCAGCTACTTGCCAAGGGGTGAAAAAGACTAATTTCATCTAGAAATAGGAGATTGAGATAGCATCTAGAATTTAAAAAATAACAACTATTAACCTAAGGTCATATCTGAGTGAAAATCAACAAAATGAGCATTTGGGGGTAGAAAGAACTGAGAACGTGTTAGTTGACAAGTTTTTATAAATACAGCTTATTGATCACTGTATCTCAGTGGCATAAATAGTGCCTGATACAAGGTAGATGTTCATAAAATATATATTTATTTATGCTTACAGAACTGCGGTGTAGGTCAGAGGTGTGGTGGGTGAGAGGCTTCACCAGAGGCAGAGTGGGGAACAGAATAGGCCGACTGACAAAGTACACTGCTGAGGGGAGCAGTGGGCAGGTCAGGAGAGGTCTGCCATGCCATGTGGGTCACCTCCGGGGCGAGGATTGAACTCCTGCTGCAGTGGCTTTGGAGAGCTTCATAATCTGGTACTTTAACCCATTGCGCCACCAGGGAGAGCCCTGATAAAATATTTTAAAAGGGGCATAGCTCTTTAAAATGACCCAAAATGATGTACTTGATACATGCAGTACTGTCAGTCGTAGATGGGAATGGAGTTTGTTAGCAGGAGGGCCAAGCCTAGACCCTGTGGGCCTTGCTGGAATGTTGATAGGAAGTTCCCAGTCTGGGCCTCAGGTGACAGGTCAGCAGAATTGGGGTCCCCAAATCTTTTTCTTTGCTGTCTCATGTCTCCTCTCCTATTTCCTATCTGCTAAATACTGCAGCCTACAAGTCCATCTGAGGCAGGTGGGAGTCCCTGGGTCTCGTGGAGAGAACCTGTGAGACTCTGAACCTTGAGACTCTGCTCAAACACAGTATCTGGCAGCCACAGGATGGGGAGAGGGTGTGGCCTGGAGGTGGGAGAAGGTATCCAAACCATTCTAGAGTCTGAGGGTTTTGTGCAGATGTGCTTTGCTTTTTCTTTTTTTTTTTTTTTTTAAATTGCACAAGCCTCTTTACTATCTCATTGATAATTCATTCACTCTGCTTCCAGAGGCTTTTGGTAAATTTTCTTGTAGTAAAGTAAGGACTCAGGTAGTCCAGTGTGGGGCATGAAGGGGTGGGGGAGACTGGGCAGAGCAAGCACATATAAGGCCCAGGGAGCCACGTCCTCTGGTAGGGAGCTTGTGCAAAACATGTGAGAAAAAGTGATGGCCAGGGTGACAGGGCTGAGCTGTGGAGGAAGGCGCTCAGAAGTGCTATTTAAGGCGGCTCCAAGAGACTCACAAATAGCAAGACAGAGAAGAGAGGAAGCGCTTCCTACAGAAGAAACAGAGGTGTCATAGGACAGCGCAGAGAAAGAAGTTCAGTAGACAAGTAGAGGAGAAGTTCAGTAGACAAGTTGGGGCCTGTTGTGTGGCACCCCGTACTCCCCTCTTGAGGGCTAATACTGATAGAAAACATCTTTTCCTTCATTTTAGTACTGATTTGTGTTTCCAATGAAAGGAAGGGTCCCTTATTTTTCATTTGTAGGGGAGATGACATGGATCTTCTTCTACTCAAAGGTAGTGTTTCCCTTTGTTGTGTTATTTATTGCGCATTAAAGGATTTCACATCTAGAAAGAGGACTGGAAATTTGGTGACGGAAATTTTAAGCACATACATGAGGCCAGTTCCCCAAAGAAACGACGACAGGGGCAGAGATGAGGAGGCATTTCTCTCTGCTGAGTCACCTGTTCAGATCATTTTGCTCCCAAGGCAAAAACAGGGAAAATGGATCATCCCTCTGTACAACCATCTGCTTGGGAGACTCAGGGATGAGGAGAGCAGGCAGAGGGAGGAGCTGGCCCTCTCCATTCGTTCAGGTTCACTTCCCTCTCCAAGGGAAGACTGGGAATGTGATTCGGATGTCTGGTTCCTGCTGTGGAAACTCGGAGGCAGCCTGAGTGCCAGAGGACCGCCGCACACACAATTTGGCCTCCGCACAAACCATTCAGGTTCTGCCTTCCAAAGATTCCACGCATCAGCCTCACTGAGGAATGCCTTTTTCTGTTTTTCTCCCAGGCACCGCCTAGACTCCTTCGAGCTCGCTTCAGGAAAAGTACCTCATCCTCGGCCACTGAAACCACGTGAGTGAGATGAGCCAACAGCACCGGATCCACAGAATGTTTCTTCTCTGCCTTAAAGAGCTACTCACTAATAACATAGAAATCTGCAAGCTGGTGTGCTTTGTGTGCAGCCTCACAGACATGGCCTTTTCTCTCTCACATCTTCCACTTTTAAGATTTTACCCCCTTTTCCTTTCTTTATTTTGCTGGGGAGAGGCTAAAGGGAGAGATCGTATGTGTGTGGGGTGTGATCTTTAAGTCTTCTGAGGTTAGGAATTCTCCACAATTGGATTGTCATCACAGACAACAGTGTTTTTAGAAATAGGAGCATCGCCCCCCACACTGCTGAGATGTACATTTGTAATTTATTTGTTGCATACTTTTTAGTCTTGTAAATGCAAACAAAGCAATTTTTTTAAAACTTGTTTTGTTCTTGGTACTAATACTTTGAACTATGATGTACATATTTATGGCTTTTGGCTTAACATAATGGACTTGCAAGGGCTGCCTGAGGTTCTGATATATAAGAAAACTGCAGAAACAGAAGTGTAAATTATTTTGATTCTAGAGAATGTCTAACCTGCTTATAAAGCCTCCAAATACAAATTTAGTAAAGCATCCCTTTTCCTGAAGGATGAAGGTCCATACTCTTCAGACAGTTATTCGGTCAGTACATCAGAGAAGCTTAAAATGAAAAAAGACAGTATTTTAGTGCAAGAGATGAGTGTAGCGGTCAGGGAACAGTCAAGAATGAGAAGCTGCAGGAACTTTGTCTTCCTCTGGGATTTGGGATTAGGAGCTTCTGAATGCTTCCTGATTTGCCACTGCCTTAGGCAGAGGCTAGCCCTAGGTGAAAACTTCTGGGGATGTTGACGCTCAGAGCTGCTATGAGGAATACTATTGATCTTTTCAGAAGTACTTGACAACAACTAGTTCTCCTACTTGGTAACCAGTGCCGTGATTCATTTTCCTGGTAGGAGCCTATAATCCGAGCAACCTGACTTTGAGAAAACTAAGCAAAAACCCAACCAACACAAAACATCTAGAACTAGATTTTATTTCAGATATGCTATAAAATACATCTGAAAAGGGTGTGCAACAATCAAAATGCTAGAAAGTTTTTTTAAAACTTCAGAAGTTTCTAAACCTTTAGAAGTTGAGATCTTGATGGGTGACTCACTGCTCTGCTCTGGGCAGATGGGGCTCACACACAGCTCCCATCCTGGCTTGTGTGGCATGTGAATAACAGTCTCACACTCATGGCACTTTGGGTCTTAGTAGACATCTTACACATCCTGTATTGCTTATTAGAAGAACAAAGCACTCAATCTCTACTTAGATTGAGAACCTTGCCTGTAAAGAATTTGGTTTAAATAGCATTGTGGTCCGAGGTAGCTGCCCTCCCCTTTGAGAGCTGAGCCTAAATGTAGGCTCATCTATTTGTGCTTAGAGTTGGTGTTTACTTTCAGTGAAATGCATGCAGTGGTCACAAACCAGTTACTTATAATACTTGGATTGTGTTTGTTCATAGATAATGCCCTGAAGACTAAGAGTTAGTGTTATGTACTAGATAGAATTTACAGTCAACCAGTTGCAAACAGGCCCATTTAAAGACTTGTTCCATTACTGAGTTACATGAACATGCATTAGTGGTCTTTGCTGATGACACACTGGCTGGATGGTAGCCACCTTAGAAAGAGTTTTACTTGAAGTCTATTGTTGCCACATGTGCATATTTAAGACCCTTCTTTCCACAATTCCTCTGAAGGAGACTGTAATTTACACAAGGTTTGAGGAAAATAAAAGTAAAAGCAAAGCAAATCTGTGGTTCAGAGGGCAAATAGAGGCTATCTGTTCAATGTTCGTGGCCCCTCCCCATATCTAAACAACCCCAATACCTACACCTGTTAAGGAAGACAGAAAATGTTTTCTTCAAGTTCACTGGATAGTTTCAGACAGAAGAAAAATACACACTTTAAAAAGTACTTACTTGTTAGTTAGGAGTATTCAGAATTACCAGAAACAAGTGCAGAAAAAGCTTAAGTAGCTTTTTAGCAACTTTTTTTTTTTTTGCCAAAACAAATGCCTTTAGCAGCAGATTAAAATCCTATTGTAAACAAGTTATATTTTCACCATTTTACAATGGAAAGTTCTAATAATTACAGGCTATCAAGATTGCACTCAACTATGCCAAAAACAAGTTTGAAGCACTCTACTCTCAGACATGCTGTATTACTTCTCATTTAAAATTTCAAAAAATACGGAAGTATCTAAACTGCTGTCTTAATGTAAATGTAACTATTTTTCCTTCAAGTGTTGATTAGGGAGTTGGTTTCTCTCTTAAAAACACTCACTGTACAACTGAGAGCAGCTGTCCTATTTCTGGTAAAACGTGTTTACTTATCCAACAAGCTGTATATCTGTGTATGGACTAACATAAAATGTGAATGCCTCAAAGAGTACACGTAGTGGTGCGATGTTCTGTCTAGAGTATATAACTGAATGTTTTTAATTTGCTGATTTACAGACATAGGCTGTTTACAAACTGCTAGCTGGAGAAGTCTGTAATTTTCATGCAACAACTTTAGTTACTTGCATTGAGCACCTGTTCTTTTTCCAAGGAGGTGAGATGTGGTGTTGTACTTATAAACTGGAGAGTTTAGTCATAATCCCTCCTGGCTTTGTGCGAATAGCTTGCTCACTTTGCTGGCCTTTGAAATGTGTGTTCTCTGTAGTGACCAGTCCACGTGTTTGTGATAACCGTTCTCGTCAGCCATGATCATGAGCAAGCACTGTCCTAGTTCTTCACCTTGCACAGTATTTGAATGGCAAAGGATGTGCTTCGTTCTCAAACAGCACACATGCAGAGAGCTGACATTCTGGATTGTGACTGTGCATATTTTCCTTAGTTTATTTCTGTAGTCTCTATAGAACGGTCTGTAATAAAATAGTACACTGAACTGTGCATCAAAGGGATGTAAAATTACAGTATTCCAAAGGTTGAAATTCTGCTGTTTTGTTATAATGCCTGATATACATCTTGAATAAAGTCTTAAAACATTTTTCTTTAAAAAAAAAGTTGTAATGTTGGGCTTCTAAAAAATACTTTTGAAAATGTGGAAAGTGGCATGGATTAGAGGTTGAGTGTTCAACTCCTACCTGGCCTGGTGTCTGGTGAGTTGGCCCCATGCCTACTGCACAGAATTGTTTTGAGGTAAGAAAATTAAATGTGTGTTTTAAAACCACTAGATCACCTAAATGTGAATCTGGTAGCATGTTTTACATTTTTGAAGGCTGCCAGTGGAAACCTGGCAATTCGTTTGGGAGGCAGTTTTTTTGTTTTTTTTTTTGTTTTTTTTTTTACGATTTATTTATTTATTCCTACAGAGCTGGGGTACAGGCAGGGATGCGGAGGGTGAGAGGATTCACCTGAGACAGAGCGGGGAGCAGAACAGGCAGATCGACGAAGTACACTGCTGAGGGGAGCAGTGGGCGGGTCAGGAGAGGTCTGCCTCGCCATGTGGTCACCTCCGGGGCAGGCGGGAATCGAACTCATGCGGAGGTGGCTTTAGCTTCTCAGTGCTGTGCTTTAACCCGCTGCGCCACCAGAGAGGGCCCTGGGAGGCAGTTTTAACTGCCAACAGACCTTTCTGTTCCATTGCTTTCCTTCTTGGACTCTGTTTCTGCACATGCACATTTGCAGGTCAGAAGAGAGCAGCTTGTGCGCAGGTGACGTGCAGGTACACTGTGCAGTATGGACCTTACCACCATTGTCGCCTGTGCCTTTGAAACATGGACAGGCACAGATACACTTCATTGCTGCTTTGTAACTCGAAATCAAACACTCATGTTATGTGCCTTTATGGCCCTGTATTCTTTATGTTTGACATGAGGACTATAAAATAAAGCAGTAGCCAGTAAAGAAGTAGATTCAGAGTATTAGAAGGATAAAGAGATGAGAAAAAGAACCAAGTCCAATGTCAGTAAGGCAGAGATTAGCCAGGTTTAGAGCTGACAAGTAACAGGAAAGTAAAGTTATAAAATTTAAAAGCTAACTCAGTACAAGTGTCATGAATAAAGATTTAGTAGTTATAGTACTGGATTACAGACATTTGATTTGACTATGATTTTTCATGTTAAAAGACTGAAGGAAATATACAAGAGTCCAGTGAGTTAGGTATGGATTCTATGACTTAATAGCTATATTTTAGGTAATTTAATTTATTGTAGGCTTCCGTTTCTTCAAAATATAAGCTAAGGATAAACAATAGCTACTCTGTAATGCTGGTATGCAGGTGAGTTTTATAGACACAGGCCCAGCCCTATGCTGGGACATGGAGGGTATTTAACAAATTATTTATATATATATTGGGATATCACTTAGGTAGACCTTTTAATGAAAGATGTTTTTTTGTTAACTCTACAATTAAGCTCCATTACCCACAAGTAAGCTCCATTACCCACAAAACAAAAGTTATCTGTATGAAAATTCCCCATACCCTAAGTCAGTGCCTGTCAGCCCTTTCACATACATCTATCTTCGGAAGCTGAGGCCTGGTTAGAAGTCCCTAGCCTGGATGAGAAATCACAGCGCTCTGAGGCCACTGTAACACCGACCTTATCCATAGTTACAATAGATACATCACAGAGTCCATGGACAAGTGGCCTTCTCCCCAACTTCTCCAGGCATCAGTTCCATCCTGCTACCATGAATAAGTAGGAGAGGGCATGTGCCAGGCATGAGAATGATGTGGAAGCTTGTATGCGGTTGGTTTCTGCCATCTTAGAAGCATGAGGAAATAAAATCCATCAAAACAGAATGATATTCATGCTTCAGCCTCCTCCCTCCTCACAAATCAAATGTGACCTTTAACTGGTCCTATATACACACTTACCTGGCCTTTTAGTTTTAGAACACTCTATTGCTCAGCCCCCTTTTTCTTTTTAATTAAACAACACTGTTTTCAAGGAATTCTTCTAGTCTGACATGCCACAGGATTTCAATTTGGTTATCTTTTACCTTATTCTATTTATGATAGAAACTACATTTGATCAACTACTATATTAAAGAAGTTGAAACATAATTGATGTTTAATTCTGCTTAATAATGGTTTTTGACAAAGTGTTCTGTTGCTGGAAAATGCTTCCCAATGATTCTGATGGGAAAGCTGAGAACCACTTACCTAGTCTGCTACCACTAAGTCAACTGAATTTTCCTCAGTGCGTCTCACCTGCTCCTCGCCATGTGAACAATGCAAAGTAACTCTTGCATCAATTCTAAAGTGACTGAGATCACTCTTCTAAGTTTCTACATTGCATCTTTGGAAAATTTTGGGGAAAAAAATTATCCTCACAATCAAAAGTACAAAATCTTAGGTGATAAAATTTTTGAAAATGCTTGGGTAAAAATTGTCTTTATTTGTATAGCCTCTTCTGTTTCATGAATGGGCACACTGAAAAACTCTTTCATTTACTCTTTTCTGTATAAAAAGCCCTGTTCTGATAGAGAACTGTTATGAACACAGTGAACCTGGCATACTAGATATGTGTTGCTACCCCATGTTCACCTCTAAGTGAAGCTGCTTACAGAACTGTTTTTTTCTCCATGTGAACCTGCTTACACAATGGGCAAGAATGGACTCCCCACCTAAGAACAGCCAATCTATACCAGGTGGTGAGCCCTGATGAGACTTGGCATAAAAAGACAAGCTGGTCCTGTTACACAGTCTTTCTCTTCATGAGTGAAGACAGAAGTTTTAAACCATGAGGTAGAAAGGATCCTCAACGTGAAAGCTAGACTTATTATGTGGGGACAAAACTATGAGCAAGCAAAACAAAAGCTGTGAATCGCAGGCAGGTGAGTAGAAAATGGAGCAAACAACATAAAAAGAACTGAGTCACATGCATGGCAGACCCCAAGCCTAAAGAACAAATAATTCGTGCTGCTGAAGCTTCTGTAGGTGCCTTGGACTAAGGTCAACTGGACAATTTCTGTTCTTTCTGAGCTCTGGGGTTAACTTTGGGTTGGAGATAAGGCAGAGAGGAGTTTGTGAGCAACCAGGTACATATATACCCTTAAAATAATGTCCCACTGCTTAAGTGAATTTGGTAGCTTTACACTCTTTTTATGACTGTTCTAACCTGAGGTCCCTTGAAGTAAATAAGCCTAGTAAAACAATTAATTAGGCCGCACTACTGTTAAAAATAATCAGTAACTTTAAACTACTGTTTCTCTGAACAAATCTGGGCACATTTAGTCCATTAAGTTTTAAAATTTTAATAAGGTACTGTATGCTTCCATAACAGCTGGTACAATTTATACAATTTCATACTTATTTATTTTTGCAAAGATACTGTCTACATACATATTTAATAATTGGGAAATTATAAAATGATCTATACTTTCAGGTTTGTTCGATCGTGATACTTCTGATAAGGATCATCAGCATACCAGTTTCGCCTCTTCCAGAAAGATGTCGTCATTTTATCTAAGAGTTTAGTCTGAGTTTTATTGCAGAACACAAACTCCCTCAAGCGTTTTTTTCTTGCAGGCGTCTTTTTCCATAATTTCTTCTTATAACCAGCCTGTTAGAAAATATTACAAAGACATTTAAAACATTTTACTACATGGGCTATAAATATCTTCATCACTCATGGATTAAAGGTCCAATGGACACAAAGACAAGACTCCGAAGTGTTGGCATGTTTTTCAGGAAGATGTGATTCTCAATGTGTGCAGAGAAAACATGTGCAAAGTGAAAAAGAAGTACTAATTTAATTTGTTGAAAAAATTATATTAGAACCACAGAAAATAAAGCTAAATAAATTTCTGTGGCTGAAGTGCAAGATGAGATATAAGGGCTAACTTTATATGCATAACCTCATTATCTCTTCAACAAACAACTATTTTTTTAAAGTTCCCCTATTTTTTTTCCACAAGATTTATTTATGCATACAAAAACTAGGGCACAGGTCAGAGATGTGGGGGCGGGGTGTGAAAGAGAGAGAGAGAGAGAGATTTTACTATTGGCAGAGTGGGAGGCAGAACAGACAGACTGTAAAACACTGCTGAGGGGAGCAGCGGGCGGGTCAGGAGAGGTCTGCTGCGCCATGTGGGTCAGCTCCCTGGCTGGGGATAGAACTAGTGCTGCAGTGGCTTTGGTTTTGGATGATTTCATAGTGCTGCACTTGAACCGGCTGCACCACCAGGGAGGGCAACCACCAATATCTTCTTAAGATTATTCTGTGGACTGGAACCATTGTGAAAACGCTTGGAAGTTTTTAGCCACTCTATGTTCAGAAATGGAAGGCGGGACTAAACAATAAAAAAGTTGAATGAAACTATTATATATTAGTGTGTGTTAACTAATAGGTATTTTTTTTTTCCTATTAAAATTAGATTGTGATGAAAAAGGCCACTTTGTATGTGGAATACCTTTTAGGGCCACAAGTGAGAACCAGTTCTTTCTTTTTCTTTTTAAAGATTTATTTATTTATGTATATAAGAACTCGGGTGTAGGCCAGAGGTAGAGTCCTAAGTAGCAGCATTACAGTTCTCGTAGTTCTGAATTTTGTGAATTGTGGGCCATGGGAAACATTTCCCTCCTTTTTTAAAGTTCATTTTATTTATTTATGCATACCAGAGGCTGGGGTGTAGGCCAGGGATAAGGGGGTGGGATAAGAGGATTCACCAGAGACAGAGTAGGAAGCAAAGCAGGTGGATTGACTGACGTGGGTTAATGTTCTAAAGATGAAGCTACCTGGAGAATACAATCCAAGACAGGCTGAAAAGCTCGTCAGGCCCCTAATCTAAGCCATGTGACTAAGTCCTGCTGTAATACTCCAGGCTTAAATACAGCTTCCTTGCAAGTTATTACACATTCAGGGTTTCAAAGGCCTTCTGGTGCGTGTTAAATACTAGGTGTGTAAAGACTTGAGGTGAAACTGACAGTGGAGACATTAGCCACTATGAATACTTTATGAACGCTTACATATTTTCTCCCATGGATTTATTTCCACAAAGAGATACCTGCCAAGTCTGTACTTATGGCCCAGCAAAAGCTAATAGTAAGATGAGAGGGAGAGAAGTCAATGGATAAGCTAAGCTAACTGCATTCTGCTTCATTTTCATCTACTAAATCCTTTTTCACTCAAGTAACAGCATGAAGACTTACCTTCCTCCTCAACCAAAGGCCAGAATGTAGTCGAAGAAACCTATAGATGACAGCTTTCACAGTTTTTCTCTTGCCTTTTCGTGAACTGAAGTATGTCACAGTTCTGACTGGCAGTTTCAGGACATTTGGGAGCAAAGGGGCAAATCTAGAATATATTTAAAACAATTTTTCACTCAGTAGCTCTACTGGAATGGAACAGACTTTTAATATATTGTTAAAACCATAACCATAAGCATAAATAAGCAGCAACTACCATCTACTTGTAATCCTTCATTAATCCTCTCTCTCAATGTTTATGGCAGTTAATCATATTTTAACCTGACTTTTTAAAAAAAGATTTATTTATGCATACAGAATTGGGTTACAGACCAGAGGTGCGGGGGGTAAGAGGATTCACCAGCCACAGAATGGGGAGCAGAACAGGCAGATCAACAAAGTACACTGCTGAGGGGAGCAGCAGGCAAAACAGGAGAGGTCTGCTGTGTCATGTGGGTCACCTCCGGGGCCAGGGATTGAACTTGCACTGAAGTGGCTGCAGCTAGCTTGCAGTGCTGCATCCTAACCTGTTGCACCACCAGGGAGGGCCTTTAACTTCCTGATTTTTTATCTGTCTGCCCACTAGATTATAAACTCCTTAAAGACTTCAACTTGTTTATCTTTGCTTCTTCTCTACCAAGTATAGTGCTTGGTACCCAGGGAGTTTGCTAACTGAATGGATACCACATACAGCCTACCCTTGTAAAATGAGCATCTTGTTTACCCTCCACTTTGGCTGACAGGTTCCAAGTACGAAACCACATTCAGAACAGCACGAGTGTGTTCTGCTGGTAGTCTCTGATGCTGGCACGGGTAGGCATATGAAGGTCAATTATATTCTCAGGTAAAGGCTACATAAAAAACTGCAGGTAGCAAACAGTAACAGCTATTTCTGTGATGTTTTTGTAGGTATGGCTATTTTAGAATTTTTGTCTAAGCATCATGTTTACTAAAACATACTCTACCTGTTAAGGATTGTTGAAGTATGCCCATATGTCAGGTTTCTGACAGGTGTGGTAAGTGTGGGTGCAGAGAAAACTGGTATCTGAATATGACTAAAATGCTGGGTGAAGAGTGAAGAACTAAAATAGGCATTCTTGGCACAGTTTTGATAGGTTGAAGATGCCAAAATATTCAGGGGTCGTAAGATTCCTGTTGGGAGAGAAGAATATATACTTAATATTAAGCCCTCAAATATTTAGAAGCACTGGGGCTAAAACAAATACATGCCTGAATTGGGGCTGGACCTGCTTCAGAGGATCAGCACTGCCTTATGACTATTGAAGATGACTGAGGGAAATAGTGGAAATTCCTGGTGGGGTAGATCAGAAAACAGATCATAGAGGATCTATGGACACATGGACTGAATCCTCTATCCTCTCTCACACTACTGCCAGACTGACTCCTTGGCTGCAGGGCAGAATCATTCAAAAAGCTCCGACTTTATTCAGATTGTGACTATGTCTAGCTGATGTACCCTTTCACTAATTTTATGAAATATCTAAAATTTTAAATAGTTAAGAGCATGTGATTCTCAGTATATTTTAAATACTGACTTTTAAAAATAAGTTGCTACATTATTCTTTTTTTTTTTTTAAAGATTTATTTATTCATTCATACAGAACTAGGGTACAGACTAGAGATGCGGAGGGTGAGAGAATTCACCAGGGACAGAGTGGGGGAGCAGAACAAGCAGATCCACGAAGTACACTGCTGAGGGGAGCAGCGGGCGGGTCAGGAGAGGTCTGCCACACCATGTGGTCACCTCTGGGGCAGGCGGGAAACAAACTCATGTGAAAGTGGCTTTAGATTTTCAGTGCTGTGCTTTAACCCGCTGCGCCACCAGGGAGGGCCACATTATTCTTTTTAATGGAATCAAATATATTAAGTTGATAACCAACTTCAATTGTTTAAAAAATATATGGACAATAACTTCAATGAAAATAGGAATTACTCATCAAAAGACAATAATAAACTAAAAAAAACAAGCCAGAGTGGCAGATGATATTGGAAACACTTAAGAAAGTTGCATATACAGAATATATAAAGAACCACTATAAATCAAGAAGAAGATAACCCAACAGAAAAATGGGCAAATTATTAGTAGGTACTTTATAAAAGAAATTCAAATGGCCAATACACATATGTAAAAACTTAAGGCTCATTACTAACCAGGAAATGCTACTTAAACCTCAATGAGATACCATTAAGTACCCAACAGATTGACAAAAATTTGTAGATCTAACCATACCAACAGTTGGTATAGATGTGGAACATACACGTAAGTGAACACATCACTCTGGCAGTATAAGATTAACAATGAATAAACACATATTTCTGATCTAGTAATTCCACCCAGACACACACATTCCTTAGGGAAATTTTTGCATTCATTTACCAGGACATAAGTCAATCAGCTTTCTCCCTAATCACCCTAAAATGGGAACACAAAAATATCCACTAATAGAACTGTCAGGTAGTCTACATAACAGCTACACAGCAATGAAAAAGTATTAGTTTCATGCAAAATGAATAAATTTCATGTGAAAGATGACACTAGAGTTCATGAGTCTTTTCATGTAAAGTGCAAAAATAGCAAAATTAAACAATGATATTCATATAGATGGCATTACAGAGAAAGAAAATTGATAAAAATGAGACAAGTGTTTACATTTGGCAAAAATATAGAATTTTGATTGGAAAAGCACAGAGGGGTGGAAAGCTCCTGGTGAAATAGTGTTCTATGTCCTGACTTAGGTGTACAGTATTTAACCATTCCTGCAGGCCACAGAAATTTTCCTTTATACTTGTATTTCACACACACAAACACACGTACAGAAGTCCTTCTGTAACCGTTGAAAAATTTACTACCTGGGCTTTTTTCTTCTTTAATTTATTCGTACATAGAAGTTAATTCTATTTTGTATGAAAGTAATTGCTGCTAATCTTAAATGTGAATGATCTTTACGCGCAAGTCCTTAGAGGGTAAAGGTTAATTCACTTGCCTTTGCTACTACCATCTCTCCCTGTCATGAATCCTTCTCCAAGTCCTTGTGCCAGGGACTGAGTGACCAAGTCAAAGTCCTTTCTAGCTAAATCTTTATGTCATGGGCTGAGTGAATAGAACACCCACAGTCCCTGCTAGCTACACACGTGGTCAACGTCCTGAACCCAGTTTACTATGTGTCAGACACTATGCAAGGCGCTTTACGTGCACGACTCCATTTAGTCCTCCACATGATATTATTCACATTTTAAAGCTGTAGAATCTGGAGGCTAGAAAAACTTAACAATTTTCCAAGGCCAAAAGTCGGGTGCAGAATGGGGTTTCGCCTTCTAAACAGAAACTTGAGTAGTACTTTTTGTCTCTCTCGACCCCACCCGTCCCAATCCTCTTTTTTTTTTTTTTTTTGTAGTGAAGGAAGAAGGATTAGGAGCAGGTAAAGAAGTGAAAATGTTGGACCATTCAAGCCTGATGGTCCAACCGTCTCGGGGACCGCAGGTTGGTGCGTTGCGACCGGTCCCCAAACAACTATCTGACCTCAAACAATGACAGCATTCCCCCCACTTTTCCCGTTAATCTCCCAGCTAAACACACACACAGTCTCACGAGGTCGCACTCTTTTATGAAGGTATAAAAACAGCGCTGTTCTTCCAACTGACCTGACGCTACTTTCGCCGCACGGCCAAAGACGGGGAACGCCATCTTGCCACCGTCCCCACCCCCGCTACGGCAGCCGCAGTGGATCTAAAACCATTATGGCGAGAGGCCTTAGGAAAAGTAACGTGGGTGGAGTTAGGGAAGGAGGGGAAAAGTGAATTAAGGAGCGGTCAAGTTAACCTTTACGGAATGCTTACTAAGTAACAGGCTGTCCTTCACCGCTGTAAAACAAGTGCCTATAAAAGAGTGATTAGCATATAGTAATCGCTCAAATTTTTTTTGAAAATTTGACTGCCCTGATTGGAAAAAAAACCTAAAACCACAACCTATTTGAAACTATTTTTAGGGCCCTCTTTGGAGGCGCAACGAGTTAAATCTCAGCACTACGAAGCCTCCTCAACACGCGTTAGATCCCCTGCCAGGGAGGTGACCCACACGGAGTAACAGACCTCTGTGGTCTAGCCTGCTGTTCCCCTCAGCAGTGTACTTGTCAATCTGCCTGTTCTGCACGCCCCCACCCCCGCCCCCCCGCCCCCCCCCACCCCCGCCCCCCCGCCCCCCCCCACCCCCGCCCCCCCGCCCCGCCCCCAGTGTCTCCTGTGGTGAATTCTCTCACAGCCCCTGCACCTCTGGCCTGTATCCTAGTTTTGTATGCATAAACAAACCTTTTTTAAAAAAAAAAAAACACCATTTAAAAATTCATTTTATTAATTTAAGAGAACAAACCTTATTATCATTCCCAAACTGCTAGATGTTTGGTTGAATGGGAAATATTCTAACAATGTTATTAGAAATTGTTTTGGAAAAAAAAATTGAATGCCACCTACAATCAAATGAATATCTTTGCTCCCTCACATTTTTTCCTAATTAATAAGTTACTTGATAGATCCCAGCTCTTCCTGAACAATTATTTTCCCAGAATTAGTAATCATACATTTTCCCCCCTAATACCCAATTCAAACAGAAAACAAACCACCTCATCCTTAGATAATTCCATGGGCATTACATGCCCTATTTACTAACTGAATCTGTAAGGTTCAAACATTGGATCTCAAACACTTCACATTTAATAAGACAGTACAGAACATAAATATAGGATAGATAAATGACTCACATGGGCAGTTCCACTTTAAAAGAGAAAAGGCTTCTAGTGGGGTGACCAGGGAAGTAGAACATGGATCTTAAAGAATGAGAAGGATTTCAACAAGGGTAAGATCATTCTTAACTGCAAAGATACCAAGAACTAGGGTGAAAAGAGAGGAAGCTAGAAAAGATGCAGGATTTATTTAAAGCATTGGTTCTTGTACTTCTTGGTCTTAGTAATTCTTTACATGCTCAAAAATTGAAAAGCCCCAAAAGAGCTTTTGGCGATATGCATTATATTTTATTAGTATTTATTGAAAATTAAAATTGAAAAACCTTGCTGCCCTAACAATTACCACAAACCTAGTGGTTAAAACAACACGTATTTATTATTTTATAGTTTGATGGAAGAGAAGTCCAAAATGGACTTTATAAATCCAAAATCAAGGTACCACGGTTTATGTTCTTCTAGGATAATCTGTTCCCTTGCTTCCAGAGATTGCCTACATTCCATGGATTGTGGCTCACTTCCATCTTCAAAGCTGGTAACAGTATCACTGACTTGTGCTACTCTCCTGATTCTGACCCTCCTGCCTTCCTCTTCTATTCATGAGGACATTTGTGATTACACTGGGTCCACACAGATAATCCAAGATAGTCTTCCTGTCTCAATTTGTAGTTTACTCATATGGGGAAATCTTTGGGGAGGGGGGTCATTACTCTACCTACCCCACATACTGGTTTATTTTAAAAGCAACTATCACAAATCCATTACGTTAATTTAAGTGCTCTTTATGAAAAAGATGCCAAAACAAAGTAAGTTAGTGAGAAATTACCTTGTTTAGCTTTTTTGCAAGTCTCTTTAAAGTCTGGATTACTAAACTGCTGGCTTATGGATTTAATCTTTGTGATTTATCACCTACAAAAACTATGCTGTACAATTGTGAGATTAGTGAAAATGGCAAATAGTTTTTTAATATTAAGTATAGTTTTGATTTTGTGGATGTCTGAAAGGGTCTCAGGCTTTCCTAGGGATAATAGATGACACTCTGTGAACTAAGACAGGCATACTTCAGTTTCTCTGGTTTATACAGTAAGTACGTGATGAGCTTAGACTGCTACTATTGCTTATGATGGCTACTCTGAGCTAGGAGACAGTCACAAATGCTGAAAAAGAACTCAGCTATTTTACAAAGGCTTTATGAATTGGCCGTGGAAGTCACTGAAAATTTTTCAACAGAGGAGTGATGTAATTTAACCTTTGAGTTACTTTAGGAGAGTCCATTTTAGAATAAAACAGTTTCAGAAGTTACAGTGGAGGATAAACACTTAGTAGATGAGAGATCAGGAAACTATGGGCATCTTGGAGTTTGAGATCTAGAAGCTGAGGAAGGCACTGGTACTACGAGGTTCACAGATCAAGTGATATCAGTCACATTGGTATCATCCAGTATGAAAACAGTGGGTGGAAATGGCAATTCAACTCCTAAAATTAATTTAAAGATGTGGCAGGTTGCTCTGATGGTTGCTGGAGATAAAATGTATAACACACATTATAAAGAGAATAATGCAATTACTAAAATATCCTGAAAAGCACTGAGCATATACAAACATAAATAACTATCTGACCTGAGACAAATGTCAAATGGGATTAATAGTATTGTCCATCACATTAATAGATTGTCCACACAATCACCTAGGTGAAACTTTAAAATACTTTGCAAACACAACAGTACTTTGCAAGCACATGTTATTTAGCTTTTATGATACTGTGATACGACCGTTAATGTTGTTAGTAATATAGAATCCTGTTATACATTGATCACACTGACTTGATGGGTTACTTCGGTGTTTCTGTACCAACCTTATCCTTCAACCCATCTCACAGACTGCAGACAAAATGAACTAAAAATAAAAAACTTGAACAAAGCAGTGTATTGTAACCTGGAAGAAAAGAAATTGTGAAGCCCGAGGAATCTGGATTCCTATCTTGGCGCTGATATTTATCAGGCACGTGAACGACATGTTTCGCCCAAAGTTTTCTCGAGTGTTACGTTCACCCCATCTCCAGAAATCACGATAGCTCCATGAAGGGGTGTAAAATAAAACAACCGCGCAAACCGAAACAACTCCATTGTTTACATAACTTTGGCCAAATCGGTCCTTTTCTAGAAAAATCCAGCTTGCAGAGACATTGGAGATGCCTTCTTTGATTCTCCGGAGTCCCACTAGACAGTTTCTGAGTGGAGCGATGTCGGAGTTCCGACGAACTCCCTCCCTCGCGGTTCCAGCAAACAGCGTTAGCAACTATGAACCAGAAGCCTGAGCGCAACCCGGAAGAAGAAATCTCCTTTTCCGCCAGGAGAGCGAAGGGAGCCTCGAGAAGGATTACGCATGCGCAGCGGCGGAGACTGCTTTTCCGGTACGGTCGGAGCGAGGAGGCGGCTCGGGCGCAGACGCACGCACGCACGCAAGCACGCACGCCCTCTCCAGCTTGCGCGGTCCTTGCAGCTCCGGCACACACCAACCGCGCTGTCCACCCGGCGGAGATGCTGCGGGTCTGTCAGTTATCCGGCGTGACCGCCGTCGCCCAGGTGAGCTCCAGGGTGCCAGGAGAGAGCGCGTGAAGAAGCTGAGGCGGGCAATCAACGGAAAATGGGGAGGTTTGGGCTGTGCCTAGGTCCCGGGACAGAGATGTCTTTCAGAGCCGCCCTCAGTGCGAGTCCCGGGCGGGCCCACGGGCAGTTAATTCGGGAGCCCGGCCGTCGGGGATGACTGGAGGGTTATTGCTGGAGCCCGGGCAGGGTGTGGAGCGCGGAGGCGGGGAGGCGGGCTTGGCTGGCTTGTCATCCAATCAATCCAGCGCTGCCCCAGTCGAGGACCAATTGTGTCTCCTAGCCCCCGGGTCGCCGGTTGGGCTCTTGATAGGTTTCACGCTGCCAGTGGTTGAAGGTCGAAGGGAGAGAACTACAGTTCCCAGCGGGACCTGCTTAGTCTTGGCTTGTGGTATCTATTTTTATAAAGAGTTGCTGGGACTATTAGAGTCTGCGTTTTATGGGTCAGGGTTGTAATTATCCGGTGGTACTGCCTTTTTGTACCTCTGCGCTGTTTTTAATCTTAACGTTAGTGAAAAATTGTTGTTTATGAAACTCAGAATTTCTGGTATTCGAGGAAGGACAAGAGCCATGACCTTGTGTCCATTGTGCCTGGGCATCTGTGTCTCCAGGTGCTGGGGCAACTTTTGCAAACATTCAAGGAACCTACAAACTCAGCTATATTTACTTTGCACACTTACTAACTTTCTAAAATTATAAGTAAAGCTGGCCTATTTTCATTGCTCGCAATTTTCATGGAATTCATATTTTGGCAAAATGTTGTATTGCTTAACAGATGCTGGGACTCAAGAAATAACAAAATCTCTAGACATGAGTTTGGAATCATTGGTTGTCGGGATAAGAGAAACAGCTTCTTCCATAGGAAAGTGGGTCTATATTAGTTTTCTGTTGCTACATAATACCACAGACTTAGAAGCTTGAAACAACATTATCTAAAAGTTTTGGGCCTCTACTCATTCTCTACTCATTGTCACATAAAGATGTAATCAAGGTGTTGGCTGTGCTGTGGTTCTCATTTGGAACATAGGATCTCCTTTAAAATGTATGCAGTTTATTGGCAGAATTCAGCTCCTTGCATCAATAGTCTTGACATTCCTATTTCATTGCTGACTTTTGTCTAGCTTCTGGGAGAGCCTCCCGGACATCTACGTGAGGCCCCCATTAGCTTGTCTCTCTAACTTCAAAATCTCTTAAATTCCCTGATTCTGATTTCCACACCCAGATTTAAAGGATTTATAGTATTAGGCCAGGCTCACCTGTGTAACTTTCCTGTTGATTAATTTTAAAGTCAGCTGATTAGTACTCTTCACCCCACCTTTGACTATGCAGGTGTTTCTTTTCACAAACCATTTCCTTTTACAAAATGGCAGCAGTAATTTTCCTGCACACCTGTGAGTATTCAGGTGCCTCTTTCGTTTTCCTTTTACTAGTAATCCTGTCGTTTAAAAAAATGTAAAAAAAAAAAAAAAAAAAGGCAACTGACTAGTAACCTGAATTATATCTGCAAAATCCCTTTGCCAACAGGAGGGGATGGAGATCACAGAGGCCATCTTAGAATCCAGCTACCTTGGTAGCTAAACAGTACTAAAAGATTAGAGTAAGCAGTTGCCTTGTAGGACAGGCCTGTTGAAGTTTGTCTTCGTAGCCCTATTTTCATGGCATACACCTCCTTATTCTGCCTTCAGATTACATTACGATTGTCATCCATCTGTCTCCTCTGTTCTGAAAGTCCAAAATGGCTTTTTTATTTAATTTCCTTTCTCAAAATATTTCCCTTTAGTAAAATGTGAACTCCTTTCCAGCTCATGAAGATTTTTTTTACCTTCATGAAAATGTCTTCTAAAGGTTATTGGTTTATTCCTGCTTGTTGCCTCAATTATTCTATAGCATTTGCTTTTGTTGTTTTATGAAACTTGGCTCTTTGGATTTTCTCCCATGGTAGCTTGGGTCCCATGTTACCCCTAGTTTCTCTGCTGTTTTCCTTTTTCCTTTTTTGAGTCTGCTTCTTCCTTGTATCTCAGAATATATCCCCCAAGGTACTCTCTTCCCATCAGAGTAGTTTTAGGTTCACGGCAAAATTGAGATCAAGGTACACACACACACACACACACACACACACACACAACACACATATCCTTTCCCCCTCATATGCATGACCTCTCCTATTATCAACATCCCTTACCAGAGTGGCACATTTGTTTCAATTGATGAACCTGTATTCATGACCAAAAGTCACAGTTTATGTATTAGAGTTTACTATTGGTTATAGCTTTGGACAAATGTATAATGACATGTATCCATCATTATGGTATCATACAGAGTATCTCATTGACCTCAGAGTCCTGTGCTTTCTCACTCATTACCGTCTGACCCCAACCCCTTGGACCACCTGTCTTTTTACTCTTTCCATGATTGTGCCTTTTCCAGAATGTCATGTAGTTGGAGTCATACAGAATGTAGTCTTTTCGGGTTGACTTCTTAGTAAAAATGTCCTTAGTTTCCTTTTTTTGTGTGATTTGATAACTGATTTATTTTTAATGTTGAATAATAATTCTGTTGTCCAGATATATCATTGTTTATCCATTCACTACTTATTCAAGGTAACCGTGGCTGCTTCCAGATTTTAGCAGGTATTAATAAAACTGCTGAGAATGTTTGTGTGCTGGTTTCTGTGTAGACAAGTTTCAACTCCTTGGGTAGGCATGTGATTGCTGGATCAGATGGTAATGGTAGGTTTAGAATTGTAAGAAATTGCCAAACTATCTTCAAAGTGGCTGAGCCATTTTATATTCCCATCAGCAATGACTGAGAGCACTTGTTTCCCACCTCTTTGTCAGCATGTGTTAGTGTCAGTATTGAAGATTTTGGCCATTCTACTAGGAGGTACAGCTATCTCGTATACTCATTTACTTTCTGATCTTCTCTTTTGAGCTTTATACTCTTATTTCTAAATTGTTTGATTTTGTCAGATTTATCCAAAATGTTCTACTTGTCAAAGTCCTTTCTATTCCATTCAGTCTCATCTTCTTAAATGTATCCCTGATCTCAGAATAGTAAGACTCCTAGACTCAATTCTACATATTGTAGTTAATAAAGGCCTTTTTTAAAAGTGTGCAGGTCATGTCCTGTCCTTCAGCGATATCCCACAAAACTCAGCCTAAAATCTGACCTCTTTACCACATCCACCATATTCTTTATGATCTGATTCTTTGTAGAGCTCATTCTCTCTCCTTCTATTCTTCTGATATGTAGCACATAATCTCATAGCCTTTTCACTTGCTGTTGCTTTTGCACTGAAGCCTTCCCACACATCCTGGCTTCATTCACAAATTTTTAAATATCTTTCCTTCAGAGAGGCCTTCCTGTCTACAGTGACCTCTGAGCATGCCCCTCCTTCCTTGCAACACCCTATTCATACCTTTACCCCGTCTTTTACTTTGAAGCTCTTACCAATCTACCTAACATAGCATTTATTATTTCTCATAATGTAATCTTCATAAAAGTGATGTTTATATTTTTATTGTTACCTTCTATTACTGACAGTGTCCCTGGTTCCTAGTAGAGGCTCAGTAAAAATATGGCATTTTGAATGAAAGAATTGTCTTTGAATTTTTCTTAATTTAATTTTTTAAATTTTTTAATTTTTCTTAATTTTTCTTAATTTTTGAATGAAAGGTTGTCTTTGAATTTTTCTTAATTTAAATGGATGTGTCCCCCTTTAACAAAACAAAACCCATAAGCTTTAGAACCTCCTATGGTTTATTAGGATTCTCCAAAGAAATAGAACATAAGGGATTTGTATATAGATAGAATGATCAATTATAAGTAACTGACTCATGCAGCTGTAGAGGCTGTTAAGTCCGTTACAGTGGCCTCAGTATACAGAGACCCAGGAAGCCTGCTGTGCAGTTTGGATCGGAAGGCCCTCAGCTGGAGACTCAGGAAAGCTGATGGTGCAGTTCCAATCCAAACACAGTTTGTTAGAGAATCCCCTCTTGCTTGGTGGGGCTGGTCTTTTTGTTCTGCTTCATTGTTCCCAGAACAAAAAAAACGACTTAGCAAATTATATCAAATAACACATAAAGCCTCAAATAACACTAGCATCTGGTAAAATCATGAGTGATGCCATAAAGACACCGTTTGCCTAAAGTAGCTCCCGGAAGGCGCCTGGCAGCGCCACTCTTGCTGCCTCTGTTCCGGAGCACACAGCTGGAATGACGGCAGCAAGACACCCCACACTGTCTTTGCTTCTCGCCTTTTACACAGGCAACGATCCTCTTTGGGTTTCTTTTTGTTAGCAAAAGCAGATACTAATGGAGTAGTATGTATTTTCACGAAAGCAACTGTAAAGTAGTGGATTTTTTGGTGAATTTTACCACACAGAAAAAAAAAAAAACCTGCTACCAGGTATTGGCAGGTGACTTGATATATAGGCTAAATGGTGTTCCAAACTAAAAAGATAAAAATATAATGAAAGTAATACATAATAACATACATGATGAACTTGAAGTGACTTCCTATGGCCAAAGATGGGACAATTTGAGTTTTCTAAAAGGTGATAATAGACCTAGTTGTTTAAATCCATGCATTCTTAAAAATGTTGCTCTGGTCGGCTAGGGCTATCCAGCAAGCCACCTCAAGCTTGGTGTAGAATAATAATGTTTGTTGCCTTGCTCACTTCTAAGGGTTGCCTTGTGTCAACTGAACAGTTTTTGACTACAAACTTAGAGTCATTGCAAAGGCTTCCTCATTCTGCCTGGCAGATGACACTGGCTGTGACTGGTACTGTTAGCTGGAACACCAACATGTGGTGTCTTTATGTAAAAAGTGTGAGGAACACTTCCTTAAAGCTTTCTGAAGTCTTAAAGATCTTTGACAAATGGAGAGACTGAAAATGAGAAGCAATTTTATTTTTTAATCTACCAAGTCTGGATTCCTTTATAGTTCTTTTACATTTACTTGTGAAATTGTTTGTTTTTTTATTTCTGCATATAAGAGCTGTGCAGGCGAGAGTTGTGGGGTGGTGGTGAGAGGATTCACCAGAGACAGTCAAAAGCAGGACAGACATGTACTGAAATATACTGCTAGGGGGGCAGGGGGAAAGACAGGAGAGGTCTGCTGCGCCATGTGGGTCACCTCCCTGGCCGGGGTTCAAACTCATGATGCAGTGGCTGTGGGTAGCTTCATAGTGTTGTGTCTTAGCCCTTTGAGCCACCAGGGAGGCCCTATGAAATAGTTTTTGGTTTGTTTTGAAGGTCATCTGTACCCTTATACAGTGACAAAAGAAACCAGTTCACACTTTTGAACAGTATGCTTAAAATTTAACTATCATTCCCTTCTGTCATATTTCTTCACAGGTGACAATTTTGATTAAATGTCTTCCACTACTTAACAGGAATCTCTTTCTCAACCAGATTCTAAAAATTTATTTCTCTCTTTCTAAAAGTCCTCACTGGTAGCTTCTGTGAAAGCTGTCAAGCTTCAAGACCCTTCCCATCCATCTGCTTTGTGCTTTGTCACAGTAGTACTCACTTACAGGTACAAGCATCTGTTTGGTTAGACTGTATAACAGATCATCTCAAACTTAGTTGTATTAAATAACATCATTACATATTACTTTATAATATATAGAAAAGTTTAAATATAGCCAGTAAAAATGAGGTTTATAATTTCTAAGGGTTTCTGGACTCTGTTAGGTTTAAGGCTTAATGAGGTTACATGGGTATAGAAAAGCATGTGAGATAGGAAATGTACCAATTTTTTGAACATATTCCTTGCCACAATTAATAAATAAAAACCAAACTCCCCTACCCCAAGGTGGTCCTCATCAGAGGAAAACTGGATGAAAGGATAAAAGGATCAAGTATTTGTCCTGCCTTTCTTATGTAAATAATTGAGTAAACAAATTCTAGAGGAGGGGCAACATCTCTTTATAACCCATGTCAAACACTAACTGGGAAATAATAAAATTAGAGACCATCTTTTACAACTTCTAGTAAATTAATGGATCTAAAATTGTGCATCAACACCATTGATAACATCCAAAGGGAAAGACTAGCAGTCATTGTTGTGCCTTCTGATAAAGAACATACCACTTAAAAGTCTTGCCAAAGATGGGAAACCTAAATCTGAATGAGCATCTGTCTCCAGCTCCAGTTTGCAGGAAATAACAGAGGATCGGACTATGTTAAAATTATATTGTTAACAAAAATGCGGTGATTTTTATCTCTTACAAATTCTCTCACACAACCTAGGTTCTTTAAAGGATTAATTATTGAAGGGAAAACCTGTGGATTAAGACACTTAAATCATTTTTTTTTAAGAATTATTTATTTATGCATACAGAACTGGGGTACAGGCCAAGGTGCAGGGGCAGTGAGAGGATTCACCAGAGACAGAATGGGGAGCAGAACAGGCAGATCAACACAGTACACTGCTGAGGGGAGCAGCGGGCCGGTGGGTCAAGAGAGGTCTGCTGTGCCATGTGGTCACCTCCGGGGCAGGCGGGGATCAAACTCATGCTGAAGTGGCTTTAGCTTCTTAGTGCTGTGCCTTAGCCCGCTGTGCCTCCAGGGAGGGCCCTAGGGGTGCAGTGTTTTTAAGGGTCTATAAATACATTTCATGTAAACTGATTTATGAAAGTAATACTTTGTTTAGTGAAGACATTTGTAATAAAAGCGTTATTACTTCTGGTGATTACCAAACCAAAAAACCTCCCAGATTCCTTCAACAGTTTTCTCCTTCCTTTTTAGAGCTGCCTCTGTGGGAAGTTTGTCCTCCGCCCATTACGAACATGCCGCAGATATTCTACTTCACGCAGTTCTGGGTATGTAGTATGTCTCCTTCTCCCTGTAAACAGCTTTTAGCTGTGAATTAAGGGTGTGTGTGTGTGTGTGTGTGTGTGTGTGTGTGTGTGTGTTGACTATAGGATTGTAATAACTACTTTAAACCTTTTTCTTAAGGTATACAAATCCTTTGCTGTAAAATATCTGTAGCATTGTTTATTTGTAGGTAAAAATTTGTTATGCTCATTTTGATTCTTTAATTGGATTGCATTTCAGAGTAAATCCCTATGTTCTTTGCTTTCTGCCACTGGATGGCAAATAGATTTATATCCAGAATTCAGCACATTTAATTAAAAAATATTTGTTCTATTTGCTATTTGTATTATTTTCTAAAGGGTTTATTTTGTTGTATTTGAACTTTGCAAATTAGTGATTATTTCTTTTTGGGTTTTAATGGAAATCTCATGATTGTGATCATCTTGAGTTTTAAGTGTTTAAGAGTAGATTGCTTTCTTCCTATCCTAGGTATTATTGTATTAAAATAATACAGTATCAATAAGTAAGTGGTGTTATTTTTTATTACAGCCTGTTTAAAACAAGCTGATTATGCAGCTTTGGTGATGACCTTGGTTGCTGTGATCTGAAACAGTGATATAGAAGTAGTGATTATAGAGATCTTTGAGATCTTTACATAGCTGTAAAGAAAGTAGGTTTAGGAGAGTCAAGAAATAAAAAATTTGTCTATTTTTTTCACTTAGGTTATCTGCTGGCAAAATTGCTGGAGCTGGTTTTTTGTTTGTTGGTGGAGGTATTGGCGGCACTATCCTATATGCCAAGTGGGATTCTCATTTCCGGGAAAGTGTAGAGAAAACCATACCTTACTCAGACAAAGTCTTTGAAATGATTCTTGGTTCCCCACCTTGTAATGTTCCATTGCCGAAGAAACCGGTAAGAGCTTAACAATATTTCAGCTATTCCTTGGAATACTTTTAAAAGTAAATTGTTTTCATTTTGAAAGTATTTTGTATGTATAAGTCAGCAGAATGTGCCAGATACTAAGTTTGTCATATTTTCTTGAATATTTGTAGACTTGGATTTTTATCCCTTTGGCGTGTCATAAGGACTGTCATTTAGTTCACACTGCACAAAGTAATTGTGTGGCACTCTAAGGTAAATGAAAGAGGTGGCTCAGGCAGAGGTAATCCTGTCTGTTCTGTGGTTGGAGGAGGTTCTGGAGCCAGTCACACTCTAACATACAATTACTAAAAACAATTGTAGAACAGTCATGACAGAATCCAAATGTTAAAATTAGTAATGGCTCCTTTCAAACCACAAAAAAGGATCAGAACTTTTAGCTGCATACTCATTGATGGAGTGATTTTAATATTCTTGGATATTTTTGTCCTTCATCTGGCTTCTTTTTTAAATCATGGGTTTTACAGTTGCAGGAAAAAATTACAAAAGGGAGTATGGGTTTTGTACATTTGGTATTGATATATCTTTTTGTGGAACTTGAACATGTTTGGTCAGTTCTTCCTTAGAAAAATGGGTAAGCTGTGCTCTCTAGTTGCTAGCATGGTTTAAAAACTGATCCTGTATACCTAAGTATTTGGGAAAGCAAGTCCTCTCATTTCCCTCCCTCACAATATCCTTTTCAAAATGTTGAGTCTTCTATATCATTTGTTCCTCCCTATAGCTTTTAGTTGTCTGGGATGGCTGAGGGGACTAACTTGGTAGGACCATACTGCAATACTGCAGAACTTACACTTGTCTTGATGTACTTATATTACCACTATTCCTGCCCTGTTTCTGAATTTTATATGTTCATATCCAAATTAATTTCCAAATTGACCTGTTTCTCTCTCTTCACAAAACCTTATTTTATATCCAGCTTCTGTCCCCGTCTGTCATTTATGCCATTTAAAATAAATACTGTCATGTTTTCATGTTGTCGCTTACCAGGAATTTCTGTATGCTTCTGTGGGTAAAAACAGAACAACAGAGCAAAAAAAACTAGAGAGACCTTAGCGACTGTCTGATTTTCTGAGTAAGGAAGGTGAACCCAAGAGTGGTTAAATAATTCACCTAGGAGCCTGCCGTTAATTCCTCTGTCTTTGTAGTTTATGGTCTTTGTGGTCCTTAAGCTGACATTCATTATCCTTAGCAGTCTATTATTTACCTTTCCAGCCTTATCTCTGAATGTTCCAGCACATAAATCCTTAGCTTCGGTATCCATTTACCGCACATGCCTGTGCTTTCCATTCATTCATTTATTCACTATATGTTGATCAAGTGATTATTATGAACCAGATATTGTTCAAGGGCCTGGTAAAGCAGGGAGCCAAAAGGTCCCTTTCATTTTCCTGACTTTTCCCTTGGTGGTCTTATATCCAGATTGACTTGTCTTTGGTCTGCTAGTATGTTCTCTATAAGGCCTGTTTTCTTCCCTATGCAGACCAAAGTGAATTTTCTCACTTCTGAATTACACTATTAAGTCGGTCTTTATGTTTTAATTTTTACCATTCATTCAATATTTTCTATTGCTGTGCGTATTGCTGCATTTAGAAATTAGACATTTTGCTTGATGGTAGTTCTTTTAGTGTCAACATAGTTATTTATGCACAGGCAATAATGTTGAGAGAAAATAAATTTAAAACCTTTTTGATGGACTTGTAACAAGATCTGCCTAAATGCTGGTAATTCCCAGATAGGATTTAATATAGCATAAAAATGTCATTTCTCTCAAATTATGTGTATATATCACAGATTTTCTTAAATAGCTGTATATTTGAGAATGACATTTTACTGCTATATGTTTTTATATATACAGACAAATGGAAAAGAAATTCCAATGGATTTTCCTAAAAGTTGATTTTCCTAAAAGTTTTCCAGTCAAGATGATTTTAGTTTGTATGGAAAAATAAATAATGTAGACTAGTCAGAAAAGGTGTTGGAGTGGTGAGGGTCAGAGGGACATGCTTTTCCAAATATTGACTTTGTTATAATCCTAGTGTAATACTGAAACCCTAGTATATTAAGTGTCATAAAACCCTAGTGTAATAAGTTGAAGTAGGCATAGAAATAGAGGAATTGAACAACACAGTCTGGAATTAGATTATATATTTATGCACAAACTTGCACACACATTTATTGTAAGAATGTCAGATGCTCATCTGTTAAGGCCTTAAAAAATACCACACTTTTTACTCAGCAGTTACTCTTGTGACAAACTGTTCTACATATATCATACTATCTTGCTTTTTGGTTTTTATGCGTAGGGGTATTTAATAAAACAAAACAGGAAACCTCTTGAATGTCCCAAATGCCAAAATATAGGATTTGCAGTTATGTCAGGTTATGCAATAAATTAGGATATTAATGGAACTAAAAAGAATCTCTCGACCTGGAAGAAAATGTCCATGATATATTGTTAAATGAACAACAGTAAATTACATGGTTATTTGTGTAATATAACCCTAGGTTAGTTTTAAGAAATGAAAAATTGTGAATATGTGTATACCTGATTTTATGCTCATGGGGTCAAAGGGTTGATTTGAGGCTCTTAACAGTAACTTTATGAAAGTATTAGAAATACAAGGAGCAATGAGAGGCAAATTTAAGCCACTGGTATATCTTGATGTTATTTGCTTGTTATTGTGCACATGTATTTTCATGATTTGAAAATATAAACTTTTAATAAGAAATGCATATATTTCTAATTTCTGGTACTGACAAAGTTCAGATCTATGTCTGTTACATTTGATTAGTCAGCTTAGAGGTTAGTCCCACTATCAAGTTGTGGCAAAAAATAGGACAACTTAGGTGGTAAATGAAAACATTTCTGTTACACCAGTATATCATCCGACAGTCCTGTTGATAAACAGTGCCTTAAATGTAAGGCAGGTGGTAACTGAGAAAGAGAAAGGTGGACACTACTCACAATTGTATCATATTTTTGTGTGCAGTTGCATGAAACCTGGAGAGTAAACAAAAAGTGAATTTTCAGTTTTACTTGAGCTCCTAAAAATCAGTTGCTTATAACTGGACTTAGATGATGACATAATTCGATTCACAAAGCAAAGGGAAATAACCTTCTCAGTGTTGTGTATGTCAAGGAATGGTGTTCAACAGGAAAGTAATACACCACATACTTTATTGTCCTAAGAGAAACTTTTTTTACTACTGAAATGTGGACTGATTGTTAGGGATGAGTATTTTGTACTACATTTCTTCTAATATGATGGCCTTTCTTATTTTGGTTAATAAACTACATTATGTTATAGTGTTAATAACTTTGTGTTAAAACTGTGAAAGGACTTGAAATAATACAAGTTATTGTATGCTACTTGTTTAAAAAAAAAACAAGCTTTTCACCTGAAATGTTAAATGCTTTTTATTTTCAAGATTCAATCTGGTCCACTAAAAATTTCTAGTGTATCAGAGGTAATGAAAGAATCTAAACAGCCTGCTTCACAACTCCAAAAACAAAAGAGAGACACTCCAGCTACTACAGGTACCCAAATTAAAAATCATTCTGTTAACATTTTAGTTAAATGAATTGTTTTAATGTATTTTTTACCCCTGATTAAGAGTCCCCATGAAGGACTCTTCTGGTCTTCAGCTCTCACCTTGTGGAACTGTCATGGTGACTTTTATCTGTGGCATTGACTGGCATAGGCATTTGGGCTTTATTGTGAGCAGTTACTGAGTGAAGGTAATGGAAAAATTGTCTTCCCTGAAGCAGCTTTTATGTATTCTTTCTTCTGACTCTTACTTTTCCCCCCTCTTTAGATTTTAAGATTTGTTCTCTTCCCTTCTTTTTTTTCCCTTCTGTCATCTCTTCACCAGACCTTCCTCCTTTTTTCTTTCTTAGTGATGATAGTATCTTGATCTGATATTATTCTGTAGCTGTTTTTGGCCAGTAGTCACACCCTAATTTACAGCACTTCACCTAATGCTAACCTGTTCAGTATACATTTGAACTTCTTTATTTGCCCTTGATTAAATCACTTTACTTTTATTCTGCAGATATTCACTGTCTACTTCACACCATACATTCTTCTAGGCATTGGGACTATAGCACTGAATGTAATATATATAACAAAAGTAATTACAAACTATAAAAGTTGTATAGTAAAATATAAATAGTAAAAGTAGATACAAGCTATGACTATTCTTTAGTGGGATGAAGAGAGGTAGTGTGTGTGTGTGTATAAATACACAAATAAAATGTAGTTGATATCAGATAGTGATAAATGTAGTGTGTAGTATGTTAAGAAAATTGAGTGTGTTAGGAAACTCATCTAGAAGTGTCAATTTAAGCAAAGACTTGAGAGAGATAAGGGATTAAGTCATGTAAAAAGCATTGGGGAACGCATTTCAGACAGAGAGATTAAATACAAAGACTTGCAGTATTCTAGCAAGGAGCAAGTGAACCTGGAGTACAGAGAGTAGAACAGTAGTAAATGAAGTCAGAAAGGGAACAGAAAGCCTAGTGTGGCTGTAGAACTACTACCAAAGTAGTTTGGGTTTATATTCTGAATGGAATAGGAAGGGAGGGTTTGAACCAGAGGTTTGATATTTGACTTGTATTTTAATCACTAGCTGTAGTGGAGAGTAGGTAAGGCTACAAGGTAGAGCAGAGGCCATTCAGTGGCCTTTATGGTGACCCAGCTTTATCTCAGGCAGTACCTTCAGTCTATTAAAATTTGCTTTCCCCCTTCTATTTCACTCATAGAAATGACTCATTTTCTCATGTCAACCCTTTTAAGTTCTGATTCTTTGTTTATAAGCTCTTGATTCTTTTAACCTTTAAGAATTACAGTCATGAAATAATTTTCTAAAAGCTGAGTTCTGCTCTTCATTAACTCACTGTCTTTACTGTGAACTGTTCTTGTTTAAAGTTGTCACCCTTTCTTGCTCACACCTCTTTTCTCTTCAAAGCGATTACGTATGTTCAGATCATTTCTTTTATCTACCTTCTTCACTATACTTTTTCCTTTGTTACTATCTTTCCATGTTTTGTAAGTCCTTCATATCTTTCTTTCTCATATATAGTGGTACCTGCAGAGTTGCCCAAGAATAGTGATGGTTAAAATGTATGTAGATGTTGACAAGACTCCTTTCTCTTATGCTTTCTCAGCCATGTCCATCTTGTGGGTTTGTGTATGCAGTAGACTGTACCCTTATCTACTTGTATGTTTGAATAGTGGAGTCATTTGCATTTGCACCTTTAAGGAGTATGACATAAAATAGGTAGTATGTAGTTGATTTCTTTGTATTGCTTTATTAACTTAGAAAGCCATCAATACCATGAGTAACATATTTATAGCACCTACAGAGGCAGCTCAAATTATTTCTGCATCAGGTGATACACTATCCGTCCCAGCCCCTGCGGTTCAACTTGAGGAACGTATAAAAACTGATCACCCTGAAATTGGTGAAGGAAAACCCAAGTCTACAGCTTCAGGTAGTTTAATTGTTTATGTATGTGGATTTGTAAGTTATATGTTTATCAAAATAATTCCATGCCAAGACAGCCCTTATATATATTATGAATAATCTTGAGAAAGAACAACAAAAATGGAGATGATACATGTTCTGACTTTGCGCTATATTAATTAAAACAATGTGGTATGACATAAAAGATGCCTGTAGACCAGTGGAACCAAATCAAGAGCTCAGAAATAACCAAAGCATATATGATCAACTAATATTTTACAAGATAGCTTGAGAATACTCAGTGGAGAAAGGATGGTCTCAATAAGTGGTGCTGGGATGATTGGATAGTTATATGTAAAAGAAGAAAACTGGAGCCACATTTTACTTCTCTTAGAAAAACTAACTGAACTGGATCAATACTTTAAGTACTGAGACATGAAACTCCTGGTAGAAACTATGTAACATATATTGGCTTTAAGTGTGCACACTTGGTTGGGGAATTTTTAAAATTTTCAAGTCTAAATATATCGTTGTGAACAGGGGATTAAAGTGCTGATTCTTTATTCCTTCATGTTGGAATCATTGACTGATGATGTGGTTTTATACTTGTCAGAAAAATGTCCTCAGTTGATAAAGCTGGCAAGTACAAACAGTGGTGTTTGTTTATACAGGTTTCCCCTGGTGTCCAAAAGTAGAATGTTCCTATTTGGTATGGTTTGATAGATGGTTTTTTGTTGTTGTTGGTTGTTTTGTTTTTTTTTTTTTTTTTGGCTCTGCGGACGCTATTATTATTTGTTTATATGGGGGAAAAATTGGCATTTCCAGAAACATCCTACTTGAGATAGGGGAAACCTGTATCCCTGTTAGCTGTTGAAATTCTGTATGCTGAAATTTGATTTCCTCTTATTTACTTTTGCTGCAAGAGGAAGCATCCTCAGCTTCTGTAAGGGAACGACCACCTGAAGAAGTTGCAGCACGCCTTGCACAACAGGAAAAGCAAGAACAAGTTAAAATTGAGTGTGGGTAAAAGGATGGCTTCTTGAGTGTTTCAGGTCACATCTATTGGTTGCTTTCTTCTTCAGTCATTCAACATAAATTTCCCACCTGTTAGCTAGTTGTGGTTTCTTTTGTTTCATTAGTAGCATTGCTCTGTTCACCACCTTCATTTTGTCATTTGTCCTCTTTTCATCTAAATTTCTTTACCCAGGTGACAAGGACTATTATTCCACAGTTGGTAAGAATTCTAAATAATACACACACTTTCTCCTTTTCGTTTTGTTATGGTTAATGCTAAAGATTATTTACTTTCTGGGGAACAGAAACTTTATGTTTTGGCAACTTTCCAGAGTCATAAATTTGTTGTGTTTCAGAATGGTTTACACTCTGGTTTATAGCCAGCCTTTCCTTCTAGTGCCTCACTTAGCTGACATGTTCCCCTCATTGCTGGTTTTCAGCAATTTCCTGTTAAGTTTATTAATGCTTTTTAAAAAGATACTAGATACCTAAAACTATACTTTCCTGTCTCAAGGCTCATAGAACTTTTTTTTTTTTAAGATTTACTTATTTATGTATACAGAGCTGGGATACAAGCCAGAGGTGCAGGGCAGTGAGAGGATTCACCAGAGGCAGAGTGGGAAGCAGAGCAGGTGGACTGAGAAGTACACTGCTGAGGGGAGCAGCGGGCGGGTCAGGAGAGGTCTGCCTACCATGTGGGTCACCTCCTGGGAAGGGTTCGAACTCTTGCTCTTGCTGAAGTGGCTTTAGCTTCTTAGTGCTGTGCTTTAACCCGCTGCACCACCAGAGACATATTTATTGTACTGTGTTACAGTATATTTATGTCTGTGGAGGTTGAAGCTATGTAGTTTTTTGCTGGGCTGAGAATATTTCTTTTAAATTCTTACAACAGTTCTTTATAGTTTTGTCTCTATCATTAATTTCTGTTTATCTTTCTGTCTTGAGTAGTTTCTGTTATTATGTGTTGGCCCAATCTGTGGATGCAAGTTTGTTAGAATTGTAAAAAGGGAAGAAGAGATCCAATGAGTATAGATACAGGGCATGCATTTGGCTACTTGGATTTTGTTTTTGTTGTATCCTTTGAGTTCTTGGCCATGTTATAAATAACTGAGGATATTGAATAAACGACTTCTAAATAAGTAGAATATTCTGTACTCTTTTTCTGAATCCTCCCTAAGTTAGAGTCACTGTTTTCTTTTATTCATTATTTTCTCTTTACCTTCTACCTTTCTCCTTGTATCATTTGGCTATCTTAGATTAATATGTTAATTAAAAATGGAGATGCTTGTTGCTTTAGCATGCTTCTTTTTTCTTTGTCAAGTCTTTTAAATTTTCATTTTGAGCAAAATGAAAATTACGGTTTTATCACTTCTTAATTTTCTATCAGACTTTACTTCAAAATGTGTATTATCAATATCAGTGTGTGTGTGTGTTGGTGGGGGTTGTGCATATGTGTATATATAATTTTTACCTGTAATCAAAACACAAAAAAATCACATCAAATTCAAAAGCTTCTTCACAGCAAAAGAAACAACAGAATGAAAAGGCACCCTAAAGAAATGGGAGAAAATATTTCCAAAACATTATCTGATAAGGGATTAATATTCAACACATATTTGGAACTGACACAAATTAACAGGAAAAAAAAAATCAGATAAATCCCAGGGAATTGAACTCTGAGGACTGCTGAGCTTTGTAGGTCTCTAAATTGGTTGCTGTTATTTGTGCTTAGATGTCTACCATCAACTCATGTGTGCCCTGGAGATCAGACACCATAATTTTTCTCCATAACCTATTTTTTTAATTATCTCCTATGTCTTCAGTTGAATTTCAATCTCACAATCATATATGGGTTATTATTAATTTTCTCCTGTCTGTGGTGCAGAGATACTGTGTTTAGTTTATCAGGTTCCATTTAGTTCATTTCTAACTTATGCTTCTTTTGCTCAAAATCACTTTTGTTTTCATCTCACCTTCCAGATGCTGTCTTCCTATTTTTGTCATTTGATACTTGAATAAATTAATATTCTCATTGACTTTCTTTGTTCAAATGACACTTTTCCATTTTAGTGTTGTATCTAAAATCGTCTCTTTCTTTACTCTTGAAGAAATGAGGTTTCTTTGACTCCTGAAATAACTTGCAGAAGTTTTTTTTTAATGGTTGCCTCTGCTGTTTCTTGAATCCTTTTGTAGAAAAGAATTCCTTTCCAAGCTTTTCTGTTTGCTTTTTTATTTTTGGCTCATCTTTTTCTTTCTGTTGTCTGCTGTTATCTCCTTATATCTCAGTCATACATATAAATTGAGGAGATGAAAATGGACATCTCTTCCCCCTGTGGATTTAAATCATTACTTAAAATGAAAAAATACCTGTGCTTTTGCTGAATTTATGTAGCCTTTTATAGGTAAGAGGGGCTATAATGTCCTAAGCTTTGTTCTTCCCATTTGAAGTGTATGCTAGCTATCTTTTAGCAATTTTCATTATAAAAAGACTCAATGCACTTTCTTTTGAAATAATTCAGATATACTTAAAAGTAAAAGTAGTATAATGAAGTCTCTTAAATCCGTCTCCCAGTGAATATTCTGTCATACTTTTAATTGAAACTTTGGTTCTCTTAATCTTAATGGATTTTCGCACTTTGGGGAAATGCAATGGCAGATACGGTAGGAAAAGAGGAAAGTTCTAAAATAAATAATTTGGGAGAAAGGATCTGTTTTTTAACTGTTTTCTTTCTTTTTTTCTTTCTTTAGCTCTAGTCAAGAGCTTAGAAGATGCTTTGAGCCAAACAGCTTCCATTACTGTGCAGGCCATTGCAGCTCAAAATGCTGCAGTCCAGGCCGTCAATGCACATTCCAACGTGCTGAAAGCAGCCATGGACAATACAGAGGTGAGCCAGGGAATGCTTTCACACGTGAGACTTTGAGACTGATTTCTTCTTCGTAGTATGACGTTTCTCTCACTAAGGATAGACAGTTTTTTCAAAAGCCAAAACAGGGAAGACTTTTAATGTTCTTTTCAGTGCATTTTGTTATCTTACAGTAGTGATCTGGTTCTAATTTACTTTCTTAGTTACTGAATATAGTTGTTGTTTGCTTTCTTATTTTTGGTTTTAAAACTATCAGCCATTTCCTTATATGAACTTTTAATTTTGAGATACCTTTAGATTGGCATACAGTTGTAGGAAATAATAGAAAACTGCACTCCAACCCTGCTACTTTCAATACTTGTGCTGATTATTTTCCTTCTCTTGACCACTTCAAAAATAAAGTGATTGCAAAAATTTAAAAATGTAATGCTGTTACTTAATTTCTTTTGTAATTGTTATTCATTATTTTAAAATGAGTGTAGATATATGAGTTTGTTTAGACAGTTAAAGTAAAATAAATATGTAAACTATAAATTTTAGGGATTAGGATCATGCATGATCTGTAGTTACTTTTCCACCATAATGCTGACTTTTAAAAAAATGTAAGCTTATTTCTTAGTTGTTTTGGTCCTAAGTACATACATTACAAAATAGTTAAATTAAACTGATAGAAACAGCAAAAAACTACACTCACTGAAGACTTAAAAGAACATTGTCTGAAAAAAAAATAAAATTTTGGTTAGGAAGACAGAAATCACTCAAAAGATATTTCATATGCTAGTTACATAGATACGGGCCGGGCTAGAAATTATATGATGCCAGAAAGTTGGGTTTGAACCCAAGTGGAATGTTATTTTTAGAAGGACACTGATTTTCCAACATTCTTGATACTTTAAGTCTCTCACCATTACTTTTACTTTGTGTTACGCTATATAAAAGGATACTTTCCTCTTCTTCGTGAACTCATAATGTATAATGTATGTGGATTAGATAACATGACATCCATTGCATTCAGGATTTTACAATTCAGAGTTGCCTTATAATAGTAGTTGACTGAGGACCTTCCTGGTGGTCCAAGGGCTTGGGTCGCAGCACTGTGAGGCCAGTCCCAGCTACTGTAGCACAAGTTTGAACCCCAGCCAGGTAGCTGACCACATACACAGCAGACCTCTCCTATCTTGCCTGATGCCCTCAGCAGTGTGTTTCAATTGATCTGCCTGTTTTGTTCCCCACTCTGTCTCTGGTGAATCCTCTTACTATTGCACACCTCTGGCCTGTCCCCCAGTCTTGTATACATAAATACATCTTTTAAAAAAAATACAGTGGTTGACGGATTAATGTTAGTGTTAGGCATTACAAAATAATCAGAAAACTGTATGAACACAAATTTACAACTGGTTTGAAATGAGCTTAAGTTAAAAATGGCTTCCAATCTCTGTTGCTTCTAGTAAACAAAGCTGCCAGTGCATATGGGCTTCATAATATATACTGAAGGTCTTTCTTAAAGCAGTGTTTAGGAACACTACTTTCAAAATAAAATAACCTGGTATCTGTTCTATGGAAAGTTTATTATTCTTAGATCTTGATAAACAAGAATTCCTTCAACAAATAAAAACATCTAAGTGAGACATTGCTTCTGACGAGCCTTCCTAAGAGGTAGGCCTGAGGTTGCAGGCACAACTACATGAAGAAGTTGCTCATTGGTTATCTGGGGCACTAAGATGGCAGTCATGTGTCTATGCAGAAGTGGGCAAAAGGAGGCCTTCAGTGATCTGGGTCCTTGTACCTCTCATCGTGTGGGCATCTTGCTGCTCTGAGGGTGATTCTGTGGAGGTGGGTTTCTTTTGGGTTGTTTGTGTCCTGTTAACTATGAGCCAGCTCTGCTCAAGAAGAGGCAATCATTCCAATGGTAGAATAAAAACACGTTGGATCTGCCTTAGACATTTTGAAGTAACACATGTTGATCATTCTTAGGAGGAGTAAGAATGCTACAAATGAATGAACGTTTTTCTACTTACGCTATGCTTTTAGTTAACAAGCCTACAATTAAAATTTTAAGCCTTGACATTTCTGCCCTCAGGCCTGCCTGCCTGTGTCTATGCAGACGTGTCTGTTAACAGACCTGTCCCTTTTAGGGATGGCTTTCACTGCTTGTGTTTGTGCAAGCATCACCTTCTCCCTTATTTCTATATAATAAAATAGATATATACATGTCTCCATCCAGGTGTATACACACACACACACACACACACATATATATTAATATAAAAAATAAAATTTTAAGCTTTGGTGTTTGAGAAAATCAATCAAACATTCATGAAGAATCTTTTTGCTTCACATTCCTCTTGAGGTTAATAAAAAATATAATCTTAGAAAATCCTTATCTACATTGAAACACAAACTTACAATTTTGGTGGGAGGGAATGATTGATGGGAGATGCTCATGGATTTCTTTTCTTTTTTTGAAGATTTAGTTATGCATACAAAACTGGGGTACAGGCTAGAGGTATAGGGGTGGTGAGGGATTCACCAGAGACAGAGTGGGGAGCAGAATAGGCGGACTGACGAAGTACACTGCTGAGGGAGCAGTGGGCGGGTCAGGAGAGGTCTGCCAGCCATGTGGGTCACCTCTGGGGTGGGGATTGAACTCATGCTGAAGTGGCTTTAGCTTCTTAGTGCTGCGCTTTAACCTGCTGCACCCCCGGGAGGGCCCTCATGCATTTCTTTTAGCCTACCACCAACATTAGATTAAGAACTTCTACTCTGGGACATAGTTTTATTGTGTATAGTTTTATATACTTTGTATCTGTTTATATATAATTTAATGTCACTTGTTTTTGCATTTGTAATGTTCTGACCTATAACAATAGCAATAACTCATGTTTATATAGTTAAAAATTTCATGTTTAGATTTCAGGAGAGAAGAAATCAGCTCAGTGGCGCTCAGTGGAGTGTGCATTGAAGGAACGCAGAAAGGCGGTAGATGAGGCTGCGGATGCTCTTCTCAAAGCCAAGTAATTACTCATGGATTTACAAATAATTAGGGCCTCCTGGTGTCTTTGTGGGATTTCTTTGTACTGTCTGTATAGGAAGAGGAGGAAGGAAAATCTTTTCCTGTTCTTTATCTATAATCAATCTCAGTATTAGGAGCACAAAGATTTAAAAAGGAGAGAGAATAAAATTAGATCAAAATAAATTTGGCAGAATCCCACATAAAGGATCTTGTCTGAAAGGCCCTTTTTGTTTGGAAATAGCTTAGGTGATATGTCTCCACAGATTTACTGAGGTTTCTGCCATTATTTCAAGTTTTTTTCTGGGATGATTTCACCAGTTTTATCAGAATCTCTTTACCTTAAATACCAAAGTAGTTAGTGTAGGTCTAGTTTATAGCAACCTTTGTATCAAACAAACTGATCACAAGATCAGCCCTGGTAATAGAAATCTACATTTGAGTAAAAGTTCTCATGGAATTGTTATTTTTCATTCAAAATTTTGCTGTCTTTTTTTTTTTTAATCATTACTGTAGAAAAGAAGGATTCCTCTAATAAAGCCAGCATACTTTTTTAGAGATGTGCATTGTTCATATTTACTAGATCAAGATTCTGGATTATGAGTTCTGTCTTTTGTAGTGGGTAAACTGTTGGCATATGACCTGTGAAATACTCTGAGTTATAAGGACTTCCTTAGACCCTGGTATTTGCTCAGGATGCTAGTTGGCATTCTTCCGGGCTTTTTCCGTTCCTTATGTCCTTTCACTGGCAAAGGAGTCAGCCAAGTCCTTGCAAATGCTGCCATTTATTGATTGCTGTCAAAGTGACAGATTTAGTACCAAGCACTTCGCATGAATTGCCTTTGTCCCTGTAGAAGGATGTGCCCCAAAGGACAGGCTGATCTAGAAGCTGAATCCAAGTCTGATTCCTGAGTCCTGGTTTTGAAGCCCATGTTTTCTATATACCAGATTGCACTTTTCTGGTTCATACTAATAAATTCACATCTGAACATGGTGTTTTGATTATTGGTGCGAACCTCTCTGCCTATGAAAAAACTTTAAGAGGTAAGAGAATTCACCAGAGACAGAGTAGGGAACAGAACGGAGGACTGACTAAATAAACTGCTTAGGGGAGCAGTGGGCAAGTCAGGAGAGGTCTGCCGTGCCATGTGGATCACCTTCCGAGCTGGGGGTCAAACTTGTGCTGCAGTGACTGTGATAGCTTCTTAGTTCTGTGCTTTAAACCCACTGTGCCACCAGGGCCCTAAATTTTTAAAATTGGATTTTTTTTCATAGACCTTTAAAGTTGTATATTGTGTTAATTTCAAGCTCTAATAAAGTTGGCAAAGATTAATACTAAATATTGTCTTTTTGGCTTCTAGAGAAGAGTTAGAAAAGATGAAAGGTGTAATTGAAAAGGCAAAGAAACAGGAAGTTGCTGGGGCCAAATCGCGTATATCTTCTGCTGAAGGAAAACTTCACAACATGATAGTTGACTTAGATAATGTGGTCAAAAAGGTATGTTTCTTAGGTCTTACACATTTTTCTTTTATTTTTAAATATAACCCTTTAATTAGAGGATTTTAAGAATTTATGAAAATAGGTTTTCTTCTATCTTCTCTCTCTTTTCCTGAATAAAGAATATTGTTTGTTACTAATTTTAAAAATTTACCTTGGAAACAAAATGAATTTTTTAGTATTAACGATACCTTTTGTAATAGGTAGTATTTTAAATGATGAATATTATTTCTTATGAAAACAACTATTTTTCTATAAATCTGTCTCTAGTGGTGTAATCTATGAGCTGTGTCCTGTGCCTCAAAGAAAAACTGACCACAACACAATACAATGGGAAAGGACTTGCCTGTGGTATCTGAGTAGAATTAGAAGGCGCAAAGGCAAGGCTTAGTGCCTGAATGGTTTGGTGCTTATTCATTTTAACCACATACCCCTTGTGTTTGTTCAGGTCCAGGCCGCTCAGTCTGATGCTAAGGTTGTATCCCATTACCACGAGCTGGTGGTCCAGGCCCGGGATGACTTTAAACGAGAACTGGACAGTATTACTCCAGAAGTTCTGCCAGGGTGGAAAGGGATGAGTAAGTGCAATTCAAGTGCTGATATTTTTTCCTAAGCTTTTCAACTACTGGTTAAATTTGCTTAGTTCCCTTAGTCCAAACTCTCAGAGACATTACAATGTTTTATTTCAGACATATTCATTACAGGTAATATACTTTGTGATAGTACTTCTATGATTTTAGTCAGTGGACATGATTTATTCCATAATCAATGATTCTATTCTGTTCTCTCTTACTCAGGAAAAAACCAAAGTTTGGAATCCAAACATTAGGTAGGATCTGAAAAGCGGTAGATACAGGTCTCTGAAGGTAGCAAGTTTGTATCACTGAAGCTGGGCTCAGTACTAGTACAGGAATATATCAGCATAATAACCAGCCAGGGAGATTTTTATGGCAAGAAGTGGAGTTAGGGGCCTCCCTAGTGGTACAAGGGGTTAAGCCTCAGTACTATGAAGCTGTCCTAAGCCACTGCAGCATGAGTTCAGTGCCTGACCCCCATGGCAAAGCAGACCTCTCCTATCTCGCCCGCTGCTCCCCTCAGCAGTGTATATCAGTAGATCTGCCTATTCTGCTCCCCACTCTGTCTCTAGTGAATCCTCTCATCCCCTGCACCTTTGGCTTACACACCCAGCTCTTATATGTGTAAATAAATAAAAATAAATCTTTATTAAAAAAAGAAATACTAAAAAAAGAAGTGGAGTTAGGCTGTCAAAGTTACTCAGGCATTTAGTCTTTTGAATGCATTTGATTTATTTTTGAGGAAGATAGCAGATTTTTGTCAAGGAAAAAAACGAAAGACTTAAAAGACAGGATAAAGTGGAGAAACACAATTCAGTCTGAAAACATTGACTCTTGTTTGCACTTTATTTAAACTGAGTAGCAAAGAAGCAAGGCTAGCAAAGAAGCAGTGTGATATTATCCGTGCATAGGCTAAGTTGATCCACATCTGGGCCATTTCCCTCATAAGATTTTCTCTAGGCTTGTGCTTCACTGAGGTTACAACTAAAAGAGTTGTAATCACCCTAGAGTGATTTTCCTTGACCATCTTACTCCACAAGTCACTCTGTCACTTAACGTTATTTTATCCTTTTGAAAGTCTTAGTCACTAGTTTGTGTTTGTTATAAAGCTCTGCCAACTAGATGTAGGCTCCTTGGCATAAATGTGACATTGATAGATAGTAAGGAGCCTAGGGTCACTGGCATAAAATCAAAGTTGAAAGGATAATAGAAGCTTTGCCTGTAGAGAGTTAGTTATGAGCACCAGCCCAAGAAATTTATTTGTACTAGGAATTTGCACTGTCATCTAAAATACTTGTCTTCCCACTCACTACACGATATCCTGCTGATTTTTCCATACCAACTTCTGAAGTTTTTAATGTTTTAAAATTCCTTTGCTGATTTTGAAAGTCCATTGTAAAACAAAACACTTAACCCTCAGAGGACATTCAGCAATGTCTAAAGATGTTTTGTTTGCCGTATTGGGAGTGACCTACTGGCCTCTAGTGGGCAGAGGCTACGGAGGCTGCTGCACATCCACAGTACACAAAATTAGCCTCTCCCAGCAGACTTAATCTGATTCAGAATGTCAGTAGTACCCAGGTTGAGAAACCTGCCTAGTACCAAGGTTTAAAAACTTGGCATTAAAGAAGTGTATGTATTACGTAGAAAGTCAAAAGTCCCCTGTAATGTAATCTCTGAAATTTTTTTTTTAAAAACAGCCTCTATTTAAATTCTTACTTTTAAGTAGACTATACATTCACATAATACAAAATTTGAAAGGCACAAATGGCTTCTGGTGACATTTTCCTTCCTGTCTTTCCCACAGCCACAGTTTTCCTCTTGTTCTTAAATGATTCCCTGTGTGTTTCTGGAGATGGTGTATTATTTCCTGATTATTCTAGCCCTGAGATCTCCTCACCTCTGAATTCAAAACTCAAATTTAAGACCTATAACAAACTCTGTAGTAATGGTTTGTTATCAAATATTTTGCTCTTGTTAAATGTTCTGATCCTATTCATTTCTCTAATATTTTTTCTGTACTCCATATCTAAGCACATCAAACATTAGTATTTATATCTAACACTATGTTCTAAGTGCTTCACATTTTTTTAAAAGATTTATCTATTTGTGCATACAGAACTGGGGTACAGGCCAGAGGTGCTGGGACAGTGAGAGGATTCACCAGAGACAGAGCGGGGAGCAGAACAGGCAGATCGACGAAGTACACTGCTGAGGGGAGCAGTGGGCCGGTCAGGAGAGGTCTGCCGCATGTGGATCTCCCCCGGGGCAGGTGGGGATTGAACTCATGTAGAGGTGGCTTTCAATTCTTCGTGCTGCACTTTAACCTGCTGCACCACCAGGGAGGGCCCATGCTTCATATTTTTAACGTGTTTATAACAACCCTATAAGGTTAAGGTGGTTTTTTATTATGTCCACTTTTTGATAAGATAACTGAGGGCACCGAGAGGTAGCTTGCCAAGAATGGGTTAGAACTGGGATTTCATTCTTAGCTACTAGTCTCACTGTTCTCGTTCTTGCTTTGTATTGGCAACGTAGCACCAACCCCTTGTGGACCCACCAGAGAAGTGATGTGCTCATAAGGAGAAAAGTTCACTTTTATATGACTGGAGTTTTAAGGAGGAATGCTAAGGGATAAAGAAGTCAGTTAAAAACTGCTAGAGTAACCTGAGGGAGACATGGCTTACCGTGTGTGTGTGCGTGTGTGTGTGTGTGTGCGTGCGCGCGCACGTGCGCGCACATGTGTACTTCAGGGGCACAGAATATGAAGGCTTGGAAAGGAACTTAACAGCAATCATTTATCAATGATTTGTTGAACTGTGGCTGTGTCCCATTCCATTCAGGAGGATAAGGTACTTGCAGGGTCAGTATTTCCAAGGGACATGCCTTTATTGCTTATAGACTAGTATACATTGATAACTCAGTTTGTGCCATTTTAAAACATATTATCTCTCATCTTGTCCAACTTTTACCAGTTTTTCCCTGCAGCGTAGGGACGGATTGTGATTTTTTGTTGTTGTTGTTGGATATCACATTAGTAGATTTTCAGAGCATTTTGGATGAAAAATCCAAGTATTAGTCTTTGAATTTGTTCAAGAGTCATAGTAAGGACATAAAGCTCATACTGAGTGGCAACAACTGGCTGCATTTCTCCTCTCGTGTCAGGTGTTCACACACTGGTGTGTGTGTTCCTGGTGGGGAGAATCATCCAAACTATTCAGAAAGTTATGTTTTTCTTACCCTGAAATTCGGCAAAGTTCTTGATTCTTGGTTTAATTTGCACAGGTTAAATGCAAATTTAATTTGCACACAATATGTACTCACTATTTTCCAGTTTCCACAGCAAAAAGATTAGTTTTGGGGTTTTTTTGTTTTTTATTTTTTGGTATTTGAATTGTTAGGAGAGGTATGGTACTGCAGAGTCAGAACTTAGCAAACTACTCTATCAACTAATGCAAACGGGATAAATGAGAGCTCTTCTGTGTAGAAATTGAGATTATGACTAAGCAGTAATAAAATGAGTCCTGGAAACCAAAACTGTTTTTAATATTGACAGCATGTATTTTCTAAAATGTTAGAATTTATATAATTTTATGATCCTTTTAAAATTTTAGGAAATAAATTATTTTGACTTCTAAAATTAAAATATCCTTTTTAAATTAATAGTTCTGATTCCTTGTTTTCTTTAGCTATTAAATGATCAGTAATTAAAATATGTACTTTTTTTTCAAACTTTTCTTCTTTTCTTTTGTAGGCATTTCTGACCTAGGTGAGTAAGTACAAGTGTTTTTATGGTTTAAAGCTTTTATTTTGATTCTTTAAAGACTGAAGTCTTTTTATTTTACCTATGATTCTGATACTAAATCATCTGTATAATATAAAGTAGAATTATGTTGCATGTGATAAATCTGATTTAGATATTTTTGGTATCTGTGTGCTCTTCAGGAACACAATGTTTCATTAAGTGATTGCATACCTTTAGGTGTAATTTTTTTTTTTTTTTAAGATTTATTTATTTATTCGTACAGAACTGGGGTACAGGCCAGAGATGCGGAGGGTGAGAGGATTCACCAGAGACAGAGCGGGAAGCAGAACAGGCAGATCGACTAAGCACACTGCTGAGGGGAGCAGTGGGCGGGCCAGGAGAGGTCTGCCACGCCATGTGGTCACCTCCGGGGCAGGCGGGAATCGAACTCATGCGGAAGCGGCTCTTTAGTTTCTTAGTGCAGTGCTTTAACCCGCTGCGCCACCAGGGAGGGCCCTAGGTGTGATATTTTTAAATTTTTATTTTATAAAATTTCAAACATTAACAAGCAGTACAAAAACTATAATGAGTCTCAGTGGACTATCACCCCAAATCAGCATTATTCGACACCTCGCCTATTTGTCTCATTTCTTCCCCCAGCGTATATTAAAGTGGACCCCAGACCTCACATCCTTTCACTTGTAAATACTTTCAGTATGTTTTCATAAAACATAATCACCATAACATTATTATATCGAAAACAATATTTCATTCATGTCATCAAATGTCTATTCCATGTTCAGATATCCCAATCATTTCATAGAATGAGTTTTTTTTTAAGGCTACATTTTAAAAGGATAAGTTTATTAGGAAAAGGAGAAAAAGACGTGGGCAAGAAATTTCTAGAATGAGTTTTTATAATAATTTTATTTAAATCACTGTCCAGAGGAGCTACATGTTAAACTTTGTCAGTAAATCTTTTCCCACTTTGGCTTTTACTTTCAGTTTATTGTACAGTTGAATAAACTGTATAGTATTTCCCACATTCTGTATTTTGGCATTAGAGCTACAATTCTTTTTTTTTTTTTTCCCATCTCAATTGTAATACCCGCGGGTTTCCAGAGCTACAATTCTTATGCTAAGCTGGCAGAACACTTTTGGAGCCTGAGATTTTGGGAAACACATGTTTTAAGCCTAAATCAGACTCTTTGGACATGAGTATTTTAATAAAGTTCTGATTGAATCTGGCGCTTCTGATGGGCAGCAGTGGTAGCACCCATCACTGTCCTAGATAATATCTGTTTAAGAGCAGGAGTAATTGAGAACAAAGTGGAGAGGAAGCACGGTGTTACATTGTGGTGGACTATCGGTGTTTTGGCGATGGTAACAGTACTTGAAGAGTGGGAAGTGGAAATCCTATAGTTGCAAAATAACAAAAAGCGATGTAAACCAATGTTACTTCAATACATTTTTTAATACATTTTTTTAAAAAGATTTATTTATTTGTGAGTACAGAACTGGGGTACAGGCCAGAGGAGCAGGGACAGTGAGAGAATTCACCAGAGACAGAATGGGGAGCAGAACAGGCAGAATGTCGAAGTACGCTGCTGAGGGGAGCAGCAGGTGGGTCAGGAGAGGTCTACCTCGCCATGTGGTCACCTCTGGGGCAAGCGGGGATCGAACTCATGCTGAAGTGGCTTTAGCTTCTTAGTGCGGTGCTTTAACCCGCTGCACCACCAGGGAAGGCCCCCCCCCTTTTTTTTTTTAATGCCATAAAAGGGCAAGAACAAAATCTCTTGTTAGGAAAAAGTTTGAGAGAATTTGAATTTAGGAAAAAGTACAATCATGATTATGTATGAAAGAAAATACAGATGTGATTATTTATGTAAACTTAATCTTTAGAGGCAACATTATGGTGAGCTGATAAAGCTGATTTAAAATTCAGATTGGAAGTAATAATTTGTGTTCCTGGAAAAGAACTGATTAAAAACTTTAAGGCCTTCCTAAATTGCTTTGTTTGGTATTGAAAACACTTTACTTGTTGGACACTAGCTATGGATTTCTCATTGCATTGGTAAATCTAAGTTTCTTTTCAAATTTTAGCTACTTTTTGCTGTTCTTTACATCTGTTTAAATTACAGTCAACTGTAGCAAGTTACCTCATTGATGGATAATTTTGGTGAAATCATTAACAATTTAATATGGCTTTCTATTTAGCCGGCAAGCTGTCTACAGATGATTTGAACTCCCTAATTGCTCATGCACATCGCCGCATTGATCAGCTAAACAAAGAGCTGGCAGAACAGAAAGCCAAAGAGAAGCAGCACATTGCATTAGCCTTGGAAAAACAAAAGCTGGAAGAAAAGCGTGCATTTGACTCTGCTGTGGCAAAAGCATTAGAACATCACAGAGGTGAAATACAGGCTGAACAGGATAAAAAGGTAAAAGAAATATAAATAACTGCCTAACTTTTAAAGTAGATTATACTTGATTACCTATTTCTAGAAATAATACTGTCGTTCACTGACTGTAGAATACTATATTTAAGTTATGCCTGTCTGCCTCTTGAGTGGAACTGTGGCTTTTACTTTTCTAGTTAGAACTTCTAAGGAAGAATTGGATTTAGCAGAATTCCTTTAAGTTGGCAAGTGTAGAGACAACAGTTAGCTGGTGTCTCCACTACCTGTTTTATCTTTAAGCAGGTAGTGTCCCCTAAAGCAGTGCTGAAAGAATCTATTAGATTCTGAATATATTTTTCTCTGTGAGTGTTATTAAGTGGTTGATGGTTAATAATGGATGAAATAGCCTGTGTGGTCTCTATGTGGGCCCATCAAATAGATCTCTGTAGAAGGATTTGAGAACATGAGCACTCATCCTGCCTTGTGTCCTTTTAGCAGCACACTTGGCCACTGCATCTTTGAAGCTCTTTATTCCTGAGGCTGCCATGACACCACACTCATCTACCCTTTCTCCCACTTTGCTGGCCCTTCTTTGGGTGCTTTCTTTGCTCAGTCTCAAATTCTGGCATGCCCTGGCTCTAGTTTGGAAATGTTTTTAATCCATCTCAACTCTTTCCAAGCGCTTGTATGTGTTCCTGTGTCTTTGAAGTTTTATGACTGAAACATTTGTATTGTTAGCACTGGGCTTTGGGTGTTACAGCAACTAAATTCCTAGCCTTTCGATCTGTAAAAGAACCTTGTTATTACCTTATTTCATATTGCTCAAGTTATTTTTTAAAAAACAAGTATCATAATTTGAAATATCTTTTTGCTTGCTTGTTTATGATCTGATCCCTCCATTGAAATATATGCCACATAAAACAAAAGGTTTCTTTCTTGAACACCATTGCATATAAGCACATAATAAGAACTTTACTGGCATAGAGCTAAAATAGGTATTATTCTTGACAAGAGAGAAAATGGAGATTGAGCATATAAATTAGGAGAATTATAAGGTCACATGGGATGATTATTCTGAAATGGTTTAATCTCAGTTCTTCATAGTTACATTTTCCCATGATCTGGAATGTGTTAGTTCTTCAAGGAGTGTATGATTTGGGAGTGCTTGTTTTATATGAGAGATACCCTGTGAGTGAAACATGGATGTTGGGGCTAGAGATAGATCATTGTTTAAAATCTGATTTTTTGGCCACAGTTGTGTGACTTTGTTTAAGATTCCTTCCAATGTCCAGCTTTCTGATTCACATACAAAGTATATGTGAATTTGCTCAGTGTATCACAGGGGTTCAGGTCTTGGAAACTTAAATCATTGCTACTAGCCTCTCTTTTCCTAAAGACATATAGGGAATTGAGAACTAAGCATTACTATGTTTACAATTGCAGGTAGAAGAAGTTAGAGATGCCATGGAGAATGAAATGAGGACTCAGCTTCGCCGACAGGCTGCTGCTCACACTGATCACTTACGAGATGTCCTTCGGGTACAAGAACAGGAACTGAAATATGAATTTGAGCAGGTAAGGACCGGTTGTAAAGCATCAACTCCCCTGCAACTTCCTTTTCTTCTTTATATTACTCTCCTTCCCTTTCATGTACTTTCTCATCCTCTATGCAGAGAACTAGAAAAGTGGACAAAGATTTCTAATTGTTCTTGGCCTTGTGAAGTAAGGCTTTTGTATATCTACAGCCTGCTCTTTAGGTAAAAGTGGAGTTGAACAGATGTACTTTGTATATATTTCCTGGTCATTTTGAGCCTTTAAAACTTGCAGAGCTTTTTAGAAATGTAGATAATACATTTTAGAAATGTAGATACAGGGGTTTTAGAAATGTAGATAATACTTGACATGTATGTCCTGTGCTTTTTCCCCACAAACTTTTGTGAATGATGGGGTAGTGCTCAGATTTTTTAATCTGAGAAAACTACCAGGGTAGCTAAGTTTGGGAATCACAACAGATCATTAAGGATATCACTAGCCATACTTAGTTTCTACTCAACGAATCATGTATAATAATATTAATTTACTATTTTGTCTTATAAGAAGGAAGTGAGATTCTCCAAGAGAGAAAATCTTCCTGAAAATTGAAATTTATGTCAATATGAAAAGGTATTTTAAATTCTATTCGATGGGTAATTTCTGATAAAAATGGCACTCAGTTGGTTTGTGCACATACATTCTGAGTTTTCTCCATAAGTTTGTAAGACATCCTCACTGATTATATTGTACCTTGTTGAACGCACAGCATAGAGGTCAGATAGGATAAGCTTTTAAATAGAGGAGTCGATTTACTATGCTAGGTGACAAAACAGTTAATTGCTTTACTTTTATAAAGTATCTTGCTTTAATAGCTTGCTTGTCTTCCTGGCTTGTTTTCTCTAATATTAGCTTTCTTCAATAAATCTGTAGAAAATTACACATCAAAAGTAGGAGTTAGGAAGTTTTTGAAACCTTGTATGCTAATGTAGGAGTTAGGAAGTTTTTGAAACCTTGTATGCTAATGTAGGAGTTTCATTACAACTGTTTTGAGATTTTTAAATGCCTTCTTTTTCTAGAAGAAGGAGTAACTAGGAGACTCAAGTGTTGCAGTAAGTGATAGACATTAAGGTAGCATCAACTTTTTTTTCTGTATACTATTTATATTTTATTTCAGGACTTATCTGAGAAACTTGCTGAACAAGAATTACAGTTTCGTCGACTCAGTCAAGAGCAAGTTGACAACTTTACTCTGGATATAAACACTGCTTATGCCAGACTGAGAGGAATTGAACAGGCTGTTCAAAGTGAGAAAATGACTTATAATTTTTAGTCCAACTTCTTAGAATAGTTCCTTGTTAGGATAATGGGATATATGCATTGAAGATACTGAAGTCCCTCTACTTAAATTTATTTCCTAGAAAATTAGATCCAGATTTGATAAGTATGGGATACAGAGTTGTGAAAACAATTAAAAGGAGTATAAAAATTAAATCCAAATAACAAGAAGTCTTACTCATCAACTGACCAACATGAGATTCCCAACACTCTTTAATTATATCTTATGTGCCTTGAATAGGGAAAAAGATCATACAACCCAGTGCTCACACTCCATGCCCTGCTGACATGTGTCTAAATCTTGTTGGAGGGTTATTTTGGAGGTGGTGACTTGCTGATTCCACCCAGCAAATGGATAGGAGTTATGCTGAGAACACTATGTGCCACACTGAAATGACAATATCCTGACAGTAAGGATGTTGATAACATGGTTTTTCTTTGGGATTTTTGGAAGGTTTTTCTCAGACAAAATTTAAGAATAAATTAAATACTAATGAAATTTGAAGATCCAACAGTCCATTAAAGTTATTTGAAGTCTCCCATGCATTGAAAGGAAATTTCTGAGGGTTTTAATGTCTTAGACTAATTAAAATATCATGTTTCTTAAACATTTCTGAAGATGAATGTATCTGAATGAGGGGCACTGTCTTAGATGTCACAGATCATTCGGTTGTGTTTGTGACATACATTCTCAGTTTCCTCCGTGGCTTTGTAAAAAGGCCTCATTAACTATGCTGTACCTTGTGAGGGCACAGCATAGAAGCCAGATAGGAAGGAACAGCCCAGAAGTAAGTGGTGGGGTGGGTTTGGCAGAGGTGCTCTCTGGTCCTTTCTTCCATGTGGTATATAGATTTACTTGTTCAAGGTGCAGTAGTTTGCTGGATATATGAGGACATGCAGCTAGGAAAAAAATACTTTTTCTACCTTTTTTTCCTTTATAGGTCATGCACTTGCTGAAGAGGAGGCCAGAAAAGCCCATCAACTATGGCTTTCAGTGGAAGCTTTAAAGTACAGCATGAAGACTGCATCTGCAGATCTGCCCACTGTCCCGCTGGGTAGTGCAGTTGAGGCCATCAGAGTCAGCTGTTCTGATAGTGAATTTGCCCAAGCTTTAACTGCAGCTCTCCCTCCAGAATCCCTGACCCGTGGGGTATACAGTGAAGAAACCCTTAGAGTTCGTTTTTATGCTGTTCAAAAACTGGCCCGAAGGGTAGCAATGATCGATGAAACCAGAAATAGCTTATACCAATACTTCCTTTCCTACTTGCAGTCCCTACTGTTGTTCCCACCTAAACAACTCAAGCCACCCGCGGAGCTCAGCCCTGAGGATATAAACACATTTAAATTACTGTCATATGCTTCCTATTGCATTGAGCATGGTGATCTGGAGCTGGCAGCAAAGTTTGTCAATCAGCTGAAGGGGGAGTCCAGACGAGTCGCACAGGACTGGCTGAAGGAAGCCCGAATGACCCTAGAAACTAAACAGATAGTGGAAATCCTGACAGCATATGCCAGCGCCGTAGGAATAGGAACCACTCAAGTGCAGCAAGAGTAAGGTCTAGGAAGAGTTTTGTAAGTCATATTTCATGTCAAAGGAAATCTGCAGTGATGAATGGAGAGTTTGCAACAGGGCCCTAGGGTGGTCTAAAAATGAGCTGGTTACAATTGTTCGAAATGTTAACACCTGTTGCATTTATATTATTTCCACTTGCTATCATGTCAGTGAACACCAGGAATACTTTCTTTGCAACTTGTGTAACATTTTCTGTTTTTCAGGTTTTACTGATCAGGCTTGTGAGCCAATCAAAATAATGTTTGTGATCCCTATTACTATTGATTTTGCCCTTGGAGCAAACTGAATAAAACAAAGAGATGGAAATGTCATAGTTTATCCCTTTTCAGAAACTGCCATTTTAAATTTGTTGTGTGTGCAGGAAATTTCCTTGAGAAGTAGCAACAGCTGAAGTGGAAGTCCCAGGCATCCAGAATTTCTCAGCCGTGATAGGGTTCCAGAAGTCTAAGGCCTGTACTTGGCTTTGAAGGTTCCAGCGACCAGATTCCTTCTGATCAATTTTTTTAAAAATGATGTCCAAGCCAGAGTGCCTATAGATTAATAATTGGGCACATGTTTAGTGATTGCAAAGGACAAGGAGAGTGTGTATCTCAAGGATTTTGCTGAAAAAGATTACAATTCATGTTGCAACCCAGCACACCCACACAGAGACATACCCATATCCCTTTGTATATGCACATGAACATTTCTACAGCCCTGCTTCTTTCTACTGGTGATACATGTTTCTTTTCTGTTCTGTGGCACTAAAAAAAAAAAACAACTCCACAATTCATCAGCTCATATTTGCTTCTTTATGTTACCTGGACTGTGGACCTCTTCCCTGAGGTGGGGATAGTGAGCCTGTAGCCTTAAAGGGATTGAATAATTTTTTGACATCTTTGATTTACCATAAAAGTCAGAGAACTTTAGTTCACTTCTCTGAAAATGAGAATAATTGCCATGTTAGGTATACATTAACAAATTCCTGTTGTTGATTTGTATTTGACTTCAAAGTACTTTTTTCTTTTCAAATTAATCTTTTGTTAGGGTTTATATTTTTACAAAGAGGTCTTGCAGAGGTATATTTATCTGAATAACATACCTACACATGAAGGGAAGAAGGTTCTAGTTTCTAGTTCTGCAGGTATATGAATTTGGGTTGTTACATTCAAGTCTGATTTGGGGTTCCATTGGTTCATTTTGGTCTGGGCTAACATTAATATTCCTTATATTCTTAAGTGGATTCTTAATTCAACATGTCCATTTTCCGTGGCACATATGCTTTGTGGAGTGTCCTTAAATTCAGGTAGGGGCAATTTGGGCACCTGTGGGCTTTTAAGGTTTTACTAGAAGATGAGGCAGTTTTAAATTCCTTCCTCCACTCTGAAATGAAATGAAATTGCAAAATATATTAACTTACACAACTGACTACCTGCTTCTCAATTTTAATTCATGCAATGTGTAGAGTATTAGTTTATAAGAAAATTAAATTTCCCATGGAACCCAAGAGTAACTTCACACACTGTCTTATGAGCTGACAAGAGAGGACATTTGCTTCTTTGTGGTACCTGGACTGTGGACTTCTTCCCTGAGGTGGGGATAAGTGAGCCTAGGTGGCTTAACGTAAATCTAAAGATGAAGGCCAAGGGCTTTCATATCTTAGCATTTCCTCTAGCAAACCTCTGAACAGTTGCTGCCCGTGATGAAACAGTGGTGGTGGGAAGGGGACACTCCTTGGCCAGGTGTTTGTCTGCGGGCCTAAGACCTCAGTATTTCTGAGATGTCATTCAGTAACCATTCAAGTGTAAGGAGCTGAGGCTTTACAGCTCAGTTGTAATTCACAGTTCTATTTTAATAAGATGGAATCCAAAGAGGAGAGTTTGGGGAAGGCAGATACAGCCTGAGTTAATTAGGACAGGGCAGTTTATGTATATTTCAATCTAAAACTAAAAATCATGAATTTAGTGTTTCTTTCCTGAGTGTTGTAAGACAGAATTCTACAACACTGAACACATACTCCTCATCTCATGTTACAACTCCAGTCCTTGTTTCAATGTTTTAAAATTTCAAAATAAATGTAACAAGCTAAATGCTAACTTTAGACAGTTTTAAGTCATGCTACTTATGTATTCCTTAGCATTAATTTAAACCCTCTGCTCTCTTTAACAGGTTCTGGATAAATACAGTCTCCAGGTCCAAAATGAGTTGTCAACTTTAAATTGTTTGAACTCAGTGCAGAACAGATAATTTAACACAGAAGGCAAATAAAAAGAACAAAATACCAGTCGCCTTTCCTCAGACCAGTGGTTCCCATTCTGACCAAGGCTAAGCAACTGTGGTTTCCTTCTCTTTGATGCGTTCAGGGACCCTGAGGTAGGCTGGGGAATGTGAGAAAGCAAAGGAGACTGGGATTGAGGAGGATTACTTGATCACCATCATTTTCTGTATGGGGAGGGAAATGGTTTCACTGGCTTCGTTTGGTAGGGATATTGCCATGGGGTCTTGAGGATAAGAAAGGGGTTCTCAAGGGTAGAGGCAAGAGTCAATGAAGTTGGATTAGCTTTTCCTGGGAATAACTTCTATTATGACCTTTATTCCTTTTGTACATTCAAGTCTAAAATCTTGCTACACTCTAGCTTGTCTTTGGACTTGATTTCTAATTGTCCTCAATCCTCAACAAAAGTCCCAACTATGACAATTGATGAACATTTTATAGGTTAGTTGAGCCAGGCTGGAAATTCTTCCATATCCAGGCTTTACACGTTTGTTCAGTCATTGCCCTAGCCTGTTGCTTTTATCAGCAAAATATTTTTTAATACTTAAATATTTATAATTAACCATTTCTCTTGTACCCATTGCCACTTATAGCACTTAAGAGCATATCCCATTTTGATGTTTTCCACTGTTTTGACCATGACCCGGACCATAATCTACTCTTGTATGTGTATCCATATATCCAGTGCATTATAAATGTATTGTCACAACTTTACTGAATAAGTGTAGATTTTGATTCATTTTGTCATTCACAAAAGTTAATTTCAAACTCAATAGTTTGAAAGACATGACATTCCACATTCACCTTATTGTTACGGGTCTGTTATGTTGAGCCAGTTATCTGTCAGTTTTTAATTTCCACACACTGGTCATCTCTGAGGCAACAGTAAAGCTTACTCTACAGATAAGAAGACTCCTCGCTTTACTCATAACCATTCCATGAGCCTTCACTCCCATTTGCTTTTTTGACCTGGCTGTTGGTTCCTTTTGAAAGGAACCAAGTAGGATTGGAGGAAAAGCATTTAGATCTTTGGGTACGATGTTAGCCATGGGTTTATCATACATGACCATGTGTGCTCCTTTTGTATCCATTTTATTGGTCTTAACATAATTGGTGCTTGAAACTTGTCTAATGCTTCCTGTACCTATTGAGGTGGCCATAATTTGTCATACTGTTGATGTGATCAGGTATATCCTTGGGGTAAACCCCACTTAAATCAGTGTATGATCATTTTGAAGCATTGTTGAATTTGGTGTGCACTTAGTACTTAGTGGATTTTTGCATGTATGTTCATCAGATACTGACCTTTAGTTTTCATTGTGATGTCCTCACCTGATTTTTGGTGTTTACTTGGGGACTGTTCCCTCTTCAATATTTGCAAGTGTGAGGGCACTTAGATTTTTGAATGTTTGTGTTTTGGTGGAATTTACTAATGAAAGCATCTGGACTGTGTTTGAGGATGGAGGGGGCTATTTGGAGTATTCAAAATTTGTGTTATTCTACCTCAAAAAACAGTAAAATATTCTCAGGTACACATGGAACATTTTCAAGGATATAGATGTTGGAATACAGAACAAGTCCTCACTGGTAGACTTCTCATTAACCAAAACAAAACATGGTGAGAATCAGTTGGGACTTGATGTAGGGAGAAGTGTACCTGCATTTTTAAGCACTGCAAATGGCCGCAGTAGTCAGGTGTTTGAAGATGTTGATGAACCAGAGGCAAGGGCTTCTGTTGTCTAGCTGGAAATTGTAAACCAAAATCAAAGGCTAATCTGCCCTATGTGTTTTGTTCATTTTCTTTGGTATATCAAGGGGCTAATGGAGCAATGTACATAAGCACTTAAGTAGCTAATTACTGTTTTCCTCTTCTGCGTCCCTTCCTTCATTAGAGGTCTTAAACTCTTAAATGCAAGGAGAAAATACAAACTAGTACTTAGGATTCTGAGGATGGATGGATGGGTCCTGGCCTAGAAAGGATCGTAAACGTCTATGACATGCATTAATGTAGTATTACCCTGTAAGAAAGAGCAAAGATAAATTTGATTGCCTGCAGACAACAGCTCATGGAGGACAGCCTTACGAAGTCTGTGTCAGATATGAGCAAAGAATTTGGTGATGGCTTTGTGAGACGGCTCGTGCAAACCCACAAGTTCCTGTTTGCTTCCAGTACCACCAAAAAGTCGTATTTCATACCAGAGATTTTCTTGACCACATTGGTTTTTACTAATAACATCATCCCAAGAACACATTTCAGTCCTTTTATTATCACAAGCCTTTACTTATGAGAGCTTTTTAAATATGGCACAACTTAAAAGAAGGTATTAGCAGAGACACAAGGGCGAAATGGAACATTCTTGCAGCAAGCCCCACGTCTAGTAGGAATGGTGGCAAAGGTAATCTTATGTAAAAATACGGAAACATTAATTACAATATTTACATGTGTATTACATTGTTTTTTCTGTGCTATTGTTTAATTTTGATGCACATTTTCCACATCTAATTTCCTGAAATTGGGATACTGTTAATCCAACACAAACTGAGATGTAATGTAGGAACTTCCTTTAGTTGCCATCTTTAAGGTCAAGCAGTACCAGCCCAGAAAGGCTGAAGTCCACAACAGGCAAGGGCAGCCATACCGATGTGTGCGTGAAGCCAACGTAGGCTACAGAGTTCATGCTGAAGTCCTGTACTCAGCATGTGTCTAAAGAGCTAGAAATGGTAGTGCTGCTTCTGTTTAAATGGTGAACCTGGAAGGATGGTCAGTGAGTATCAGGAATCTGACCCAGTGTAGTGTTGTGTCAACTGTACTCCGAGTCCATCAAATCCATACTATGCACTTGTTCATCTATGGAGAACTCAGGAAACCTCAGAATCAGGTATGAACAAAGACATTTTTATATCATTGTACAGTTAAAACAGCTACGTTAGGAGGGCAGCTGCTCCTGGCTCGCCCACTTTCATTTTCTTTCACTGGTGTCACTGTCGCTGTCACTATCGCTGTCACTGGTCAATGCAGTTAGGTTTCCTAGGGCTTCCCTGTAAGAAAAATAAAACCAGAGAGTTACAGTGCAACTCTGCCTAGGGGTGGAGGACTGTGTGTACGTACACTAAAGTACATTAATGAAAATGGCGCCAACAGTCAAATATATTGGTCTCCTGACTTAAATGACAAAAGAATTATCGGGGACAGGAAATCTGTAAACATCTGAATGGGGTAGATGGACAAATAGTCTGTTCCATTTTTATCTTTCCTTCAGACCCACTTACTTTTGTTCCTGGCTCACTGCAAATTCTGACATCACTCTTCGTGTGAGGCTCTCACAAATTGGTAAGCTGAAGGCACTTGCTAGCTTCACTATCTCAACTGCCTGGGCAGGACTGTTGGATAGTTTTGCACTATCCATAAACTCATTCAGCAATTCATTTCTGTTAAAAAGATATAACATGTCAAGATTTCCCAACTAAACTCTTCACCCCTCAGTTACAAGCAGAGTACTTTATAAAGTTCAAGTTTTAAATGCCCCACAGTAGCTTTGGAGGAGAAGTTACAGGAGATCTAATTTTAAAGGGTCAAAGAGATAATGAACAGTGGTTCAATATGCCTCCACTGAGAACCTACTCAACATACCAACATTTATTGCACTAGTAAAACACAGGAAAAAATAGTGTGTACCTCAGGATGCTTCATGTGGTGGCAGGAACTATCATTTGCTTTCTATCAGAGGAATACCCAACTGCTATGGGTGAAACATATGAAAAAATCCCAATCATGACAGGAAGTTATGACAACTTACCTAGGGATCTTATTATGCTTCCTGAAAAGTCCCAACATTTTCCTGTACAAGACACAGTAGGAGAACGATTATGAATACAATACTAACAGTATAAGCGAGAACGATTATGAATACTAACAGTATAAGCCAGTTGGGTGAACACAGCTGTTTTCCTAGATTGAGAGACACAGACTCCTTGCTAACTGCAGTGGAAGCTCCCAACACCATCTTTAATCAGTCACCTCAGGTACTTCAGCTCCTTCACCATAACTTCATACATGTATATCACAAGTTTCATGGGAAAATCTAATCTGCTCCTACTTAAGAGAATGGCTGGGATTTCACTAGTCCTCCCAGGGAGGGCCTATGTCCTATAGGCAGTGTGAAGAGATGGATGCAACAGATAACATTCTCTTTCCTCTGTTACAATTCAGCATGAGGTCTGTCCTAAAATTCGTTATGAAGAGCAGGCTCAGATTAAGGCATCAGTCTCATGTAAGTGCTCACCTTCAACCTGCCACATGCAGGACAAAGGAGAAACACATACATTCAGCTCCCATGACTCAGCTGAGGTCCGTACCCCTGCGCCAATCATCACAGCCTGATTCATAACAAGTGTGAGCCTGCCTGAGTTAATAAACCTGAGCATCAAATATTATGTCATTAGCAGCATGGTAGTTCATGTGTATGATTCACAACTCTAAGACCATTTGAGGCAGCAAAGCCTTCACCAGCTTTTCCTACAGATAGTGAGAAGCTACATTTTATACTGATCCTATGTTCAAGTTCCTTTCCTGTGCAGAAGTTACCCACATTACTCTTAAGAGGTAAAAAACCTTTATATCCAAAACACAGAAGAAACAGTTGTGAACACAATACCTAAAAAATAATTCTTTAGTTGATGTCTCTGCTAAAAAAATGAATATGCCTAAAGTCTCCATTGACAAATACTAAAAATTAGTATGTGAATAAAGTGCTGACAAATCACAGCTGTATTCCAATCAAGGCCATGTTTGGTTAGTACTGATAAATGCCAGTTTCCTTAAGTCCAAGTCCACATTTTAAGCTGGGATTCAGGAAAAACACCCACCAAGTAAAATAATAACTAGATAGCCAAAACATTTCCAAAGGTTTTCTTTGGGTCACTTTGTTGTTTATAAGTGGGTTAGATAGTGACATATTTGCCCACTTAACCATACTGTTTGTTAAATACCTCATGTATTGGTTTTCTTCCAAAGGTCTGTTTTCAATTGGTATATTAGGTCCTAAAATAAAGTTCTGTTACACAGTGTTGCTGGGCAAAAATATTCTTGGCCCAAGTCATTACTCAACTAACTTAGTAAGTTCTTCCATGTACAGTTTTCAAGAAAAACTCTCAGTGATGTTCCCATGGGACTTGCTGAATTTGAAAGCTTGCAGAGAAAACTCAGTTACTCATTTGTCTAGAAATAAGATCATGTAGATTAGAAAACCTACACTACTCAGATAAAGTATTCTCTAAGACCCAGTATAAATTCTTCTAACTTAAACTTGTGGTATTGTACTCACCAGGCTTCCTGGGTTCTCCCAGCCCTTAAAAAGAGGACAGCTATACAGTTGAGAGGATTGGCTGGCCAATCTGGAGTGGTGTGTCTGGCATCTTGGCTTTCATAAGTAGATTTGATATCTGCAGCACAGTCAGCAAATGCCACCTGAAGCTGAGAGGTTCTAAGAGTCAGCAGAGTTGCAGGATTGGTTTTATGATAATTTTAGTTCAGATCTCCACAGGCCCATTAAAACTGTGGAGGAATGAATTTTCATCTGAACAAAAACATCACAGTACAAATAATAGAGGTGAAAGAAAAAAATGGAAAGCACACTGCCCTGGGCAAATAACTCTATTAGTATTTCTTTTAAAGCCCCAATGGGTTTTCCTTTCAGATACCAAACAAAATAGCTGCAAGCTGCTACTGTCAAGACACAAGCTATTTTCATGCTACTTGCTTTGGACTGAAGAATGAGCATGACTTTAGAAATATCCTGCAAGTAGTGGGTTATGTCTAGATGTATAGTTCTATATGTGTTTAGGTGGCAGAGGCCCCTGTAAGCTAAGACCAGAGGCTATGATGACTAATACCCCTTTAGTAACAGTAACAAAAAAAAAAAAAAAAAAAAAGAGAGTCAATGTAATCCTACCTCTGGTGGGTGCTGATCCCTTGCCATGAGCAATAACATCTCTTCTTTCAGGTCATTGCGGTAAGTGTGGCCATATTCTTTACTATCTTGAAACAAAGAACATAGTGAGAAGTGATCACTGTCATGTAAAACCAATACAAGTCTGGCTGGCTGACTTTCACCTAATGTCAAATGTCACCCCTATTTCTTGGTGGATGAAAATAAGCTGATGACATCTATTTCAGGATTTAAAAAAGCAGAATGATTCATGATTAAAAAAAGGACAGAAGAGCAGATAAGTTAATGCCAGTAACCTGTCCTTGGTCAGGTGTTAAATACAGCACACACTATGCTTGAACAGACGCCCGATACACAAGATAAGACCATAATTTGTCAATGGTATAGTTTATGGTAAGTGTTTCCGACATGTCAGACATGGAATCTTGAGGCAGACAGACTGTGACTTCATGATCAATCAACCTCTATAGCCTATATATATATATATGTGTGTGTGTGTGTATACACACACACACACACACAGTCATAAATACCACTGTGTTTCTAACTGTGGTATTCTGTGTTAAAAACATAAATACCACTCACTGATTATGACCGAACCACTGTGAAGCAACAATAGAAGAATGACAGACCTGGCCTGTAGAGCTATATTTAGACTTGGAGTGTAATATGTAGTCAGCATTGATCTTTGTTATGTCATGCACATATCCACTAACCTCAGTTTATTTCTGTAACATACGAACTAATTTAGATCATTTTCAGTATAACTTAATTCATACAATATATAACATGAGCAAATGGCCTCAACTAATGTATTCAGTTAGGTGAAAAATGGAAGTTTTCATCACACAATGTTAACATGTTAGGCAAAATGCAGCACAGAATTACCTGGAGAGAGAAACTGAAACTGACCTTTCCAAATCTGAGGAATCACTTCTAGTCGGTTGGCCACATCTAAGGCTTGGAGAAGATCTATCAATGTTTGGGAGTGGGGAAAATAGACCTAATTAAAGGAAATACATCTTTAAAATATTAACCAGCAAAGATAACCACAAACATATAATGAATGATAAAAGAGAGGCCAAGAATCATCTTACTGAAGGTATTAGATCCTTATACCACTTCAGGGTGACATCTATTTGTTCCATTGCACAAAGCAAACTGAAGAACTTAGAACTGCAATGGAGAGAAAGAGAGAATGTTGGCTAAATACCTAGTAGGGAAATTTTTAAATTGTATGATGGCATGTTCAGTGTAAATTAAAAGTTTAAAAGTTGCAAACAATTTCAAGTTACATGAGCCAGTGTTAACATCTAGGAGGTGCTAACTGCCTTCTGGACTTTCCAACAAAAACTTTATCCTCAAATGGTCTTTCATGACAGCCTCCTCATGATGAGGTTTTTTTTTTTTTTTAAGATTTATTTGTGCTTACAGAACTGGGGTACAGGCCAGAGGCTCAGGGGTGGTGAGAGGCTTCACCAGAGACAGAATGGGGAGCAGAACAGGCAGATGGATGAAGTACAATGCTGAGGGGATCAGGGGGTGGGTCAGGAGAGGTCTGCCACGCCATGTGGTCACCTCTGGGGCAGGCGGGAATTGAACTCATGCGAAAGTGGCCCCAGCCTCTCAGTGCAGTGCCTCAACCCACTGCACCAGCAGGGAGGGCCCTCATGATGAGATTTTAAAAGCATTCAGTGTGAAACAAAGCACACAAAGGCTACTGCCTTTAAGTTCTTGCCTAAAAGCAAACCCTTTTATGGAGGCTGCAGTATCTTCATCTTTAAAAACAAAAAGTTTGTGACTTGACCTTCCAGAACTCATACTGTTATAAATTCAAAAGTACTAAACAGATGCAAAGCAAAAATATATGTGGGTTTAAAGTTTTGTAAGGAAATGAAGCTTAAAAAATACATGTTTGATATCACAATCTAATACATCACTTTCACTGGACTGGTTAAATTTCAAAGTGCCCAACTAACATACACTGTTGAGTTTGCTGCACACACTCTGAAATCAGAGATGAGATTGGAGGACTAACAGCCTCACACTTCACTATCTAATGGCTGCTAAAGGTGCTCCACTACTATGAAGAAGGATGCATTGCCAGTACACTTACTAATAGAAATTACGCCGATGATCAGGTCCAATTAACTTTCGATTGTCTCCAGTGTTTAAAAGGTTATGTACTTGGTAGCCAAGTTCTAGATCCCTGAGAGATGAACACTGAAAATTTGCAATAATAAGCACAATTATTTGTGAAAGTATTTATGCTGATACACTATTAGAGTAAACAAGAAATTCAAGGAAAACCTTAAAACAAAACCCCCAAATTCTATTAAATTTAAATTAGAATTGTTTTGCTCTAGCAATTACATACCTTCAGAAATCAATCCTACAAAACACTTGGTTTTTCTGCAGAAAAATGCTCACTAGTATTATAGCAGTAAAAATAACCCAAAATTCATACACAGGAGAAGAGTTAAGTAAATTGTTGTTCTCCCTTCTACGAAATACGATGTTTCTGTCAACAAAACACCATGAAATGTGTCTGAAGGGATACACACTAGACTATAAAAGCAACCTTAGTGAAATGAATATGCTTATTCTGAAACTGCTTTAAATTTCTTATGATGAAGATAAGATGAAAAACTAAAATTATCAATTTAAAAGCTATTATTAGGCAAATATGAAATACTCTGAAATCTTACCTGAACAGAAGTATGAAAAAGATAATCTATACAATAAGTACAGGTTAGGGCTGGTCTATGGCTTAAAACAGATTTTAGAGAAAGAAAAACTCAGAACCAAAGACATAAAGGAGTTAAGAAATGAAAGAACCAGAGTCCCTCCATCCCCCAGTCACAGATAAATTGAGGAAATGGATAAAAGGATAACAAGTCAAACAGTACTTACAACTCTCATGGCTGACTGGAAAAACATATCTGAAAATCAAAGTCCATGAAACATTGGTTACCATGGATAAAATATATTTTCCAGTCATAATATTTAAAAACCCCAGCTGGTAACAGAACTGCTACTATATAAGATAAACCTAGAGGAATACAGAGTTGGCTGAATAACGAAGTGACACAGGAATTTTGGCTTTCTAAGAATAATCACTTAAAAGACCACTGAACTAAGCCAATTGTGGCCCTTACCACAGGGATCTAGTAACTGGTTCTCAGAAAAACAGGCTCTCTGCCTTACAGCAGCAATTTCTGTACTTACCATCATCCAGGTCCTTTGGGGAAAATTTCTTTCCCATTATTTCATTCATGATGTCATGGATTATTGAAGATGAGCCCTTTGAAGGGTTTTCTGCAAAAAAGGAAAGCACATAGGTTTTATTGTGAGTTCATTTCTGGTATCACCACTAAGGGCACAAACATTACTCCAACTTCTGCTTAGGCTTGGCTCAAAGCTGGGAAGGTACATCCTTGCTCAAGGATGTGTATGAGTGCAGCTACCCATAAAATCTGGGATAGTGACCAGTTGTGGACATGTGTTATGGACAGTCTTTTCCCATCCTTAGTAGCACAGGATCCTTAATTTTAGAGTGGGACACACACTCTGTATGTCTCTCACACATACATGTGTACATTTAGATAAAACCATTTTTGCTAATAATGATGTAACCATTAAGAACAGATAAGATGTTTAAGAAGAAAACTAGAATTAATGGATAGTCTTTCAAAAATCACATGAACTTTCTATTAACTTTCTATTAATCAGAAAATACACCTACAAACCCTCAAATATAGCATTTTTTCTACATTCTTTCCTTCCTTATCTAAACACAAATCACACACAATCAGTTTTAATGATAGCAATGCACTTTTATGATTTCCTAGGTATGGATCCACTGGCTAACTGAGTTACATAATCACCTCTTGTTTTTTTTTTTTTTAAATATAGCAAGTATTACAGAAAAGAACTAAAATTGTCATTTCTGAACATGGGTTTTTTTCTCAGGTTGGGGAAAATGGACAATAACAGATTATGAATACATATATATGTACCTTCCAAGCACATTGTACTTAACACATTTAATTATCAAACCCTGATAGTATTACTCAGGTAAAATACCGAATGTATCCAGTCCCTTTTAATGCTGTTGGTAAATGCTAAGGAGAACTTTCAGCTCAAATGTTTCTTGTTTTAGAGCAACAGAACTCCTATAGAACTGGCTGACCTAAAAGCAGGTGACAGAAGCTTGAAGTTCTACAATGAGGCTTCAAAATATGGTTAACTTTACTGTGGAACAATATATCCAACAGCTTCCTGTAAAACTGGGATGTTCTCTTACTCCTGAATATGGTAACCGACATTTAGATGAGGCTAATGAGCACTAATATGGAGGAATCTTAAATTTTAATAGCTATAGCAACTAGTTGCTATTGTACTGTATAGCTCTGGAGAGCAAAACTTCAAATTCAAGTTATCTTTTTTTCTTTTTAAAAAATATTTGTGCATACAGAACTGGGGTACAGGCCAGAGGCTCAGGGGCGGCGAGTGGCTTCACCAGAGACAGAGTAGGGAACAGAACAAGCAGATCGACGAAGTACACTGCTGAGGGGAGCAGCGGGCGGGTCAGGAGAGGTCTGCCGCGCCATGTGGTCACCTCCGGGGCAGGCGGGAATCAAACTCATGCGGAAGCGGCTTTTAGATTCTCAGTGCTGTGCTTTAACCTGCTGCGCCACCAGGGAGGGCCAAGTTCTTATCATTTTTAATTATATACCTATATTACTAGTACTCTGACTTCACTCCAGCTCAAGTTTTACATCAACAAAGATTATTACCTCAAGAATAACTTAGGCTGTAGGCTAATATAAATTTGTGAATGCTCTATTCTTCATTCATATGCAGAGAGGGTAACATAATTACATAACTTAAGGTGACAGGGTTACCTTTCTACTATATGAACATAACCTCATACATACCATGTTGGTAAAAGAGCTGAATAACATAGTGATATGTTGCAAGCGAGGGTTCTCAAATAACCAAGTGGACAGGAAAAAAAAGAAAGAAAACAAGTCAAACACGGCTATCCAAATTACCTAGGCATACTGAATTAAGAACATAGTGATATTGGTATTTAAGTAAAAGGTGATATACTTTTTCTTGGGAAGACATTTCCCAGCTCATTTGGCTAATGTGAAGGATGAAAAGGTATCAAAGATTCAATCATTTTTACAAATCCAGACCTATAACTAAAGCATACTGAAGTGAGTTCCCAAAATAACTTTTAGTAAAGCAATGACTGAAAAATATATAAACTGTCAATGAGACAAGGTAATTTCTTGTTGGGGCTTCCCAGTGCGCTATAGGATGGCGAGTAGCTCCCTGGTCTCCACCCGTCTTGTGCCAGTAGTAAACCTCACCAGCATCCCCTGGTCATGACCAGATTCTCAGGACGTCATTTGGCTTAAAGCATAGATGTAGAGAACCACAGCACTGTACACATTTGAGCTAAAAAACCTAGTATACAAATTACCATTGGATTTAAAACTAAGCGACGTCAAAATGAACAGCTCTCGGAATCAAGAAAAAGCACCTAAAATGCTACCACAATCATTGCCACTGACTATAAAGAATATGAAGCTAAAGGGGCTCCCACTCTAGTCAGTACATGTCACTAAGTATGCCAAATGACTGAAATGAAATTTCCAACACATAAAGATAATAAAGCGCTTATGGTCTCTTTGTTGCTTCTCTGGACCTGAAACCTCTGGTCAGCAGACTCATTTTTCAGAACACAGCCTCACCTATTCCAATAGCTTTCATTTCACGTAAGGTCTGTAAAGCTGGCAATTTTCCAAATGCGTAAAATCTCCGGAGACATTTCAGAATGGTATTAAAAGTCTGTAGATTTGGTTTTACTTTCTGAGCAACCATTTGTTTCAGTAGTTCCTAAATTAATAGGAGGTAGTTAATTATTTTTGTTGTTGTATTGCTGAGTAGATAATATTACATGCTAAGAAAAGAATGTTTCTCTGGCTATGTTTTTAGCAAGTTAACATATACATTCCCAATTTTATAGTCATGTCAGCAAGTTAGCACTGTTGCCTTTAGAAGACCCTCCAGTCACCACACTCCACATACTGTCTTTAATCCCTGCCTGTGAGTCTTAAGCAAAAGAACAGACTAGAATGGACAGTGTGTGTGTTTTAAAATAAGCAGTATGGTTTAAAAATATGTCCCTATCCTTAGATTACTCTAATCCAGTAATTTCATTTTGTAATCATACATGATAAAAATTTCTCAAACACACTTATATGTGAAAAAAGTGAACAAAACAACTCAGATCTTCCTCAGTTCTAGCTGAATGCTCTGAATTTAGCTTTTCTCCTTACGTTAAGACACAACTATTTCAACCACAGAATTACTGAAAAAGCAGTGAGCAAGTAACCCCATCTGAATAGACAGCCACGTAAGATGCTCACTGAATGCTATCTCCACTCCCACATAACTACAGTAAAACGCTTTTGGGCCTACAGAGAAAACGAAGGTATAATATACTTACTAGTATGTTATTCCACTTTTCCTCAAATTTCTCATTCGTCATCAATGCTGTTGCTTCTATCAATGCATTGAAGGTGTATACATCAGCTACAAAAGCAAAAAACCTACTTTTAACAAAATTTGGGGTTACAGATTAATGGGCTTGCTCTTGGCCCATTGCTAATGGCCACAAAACCAGAAAACCACTCATTTTTCTGGATTTCTATTCCTGCTTCAATGTGAGCCAGTGACTGAGGCAAGACTCAAGGATTTCACAAATTCCTTAGTGAAGAAAACAAAGGCAGCAAGGGGACTTCTCCAAAGGCACTTACCACGGAGTCTGTTGTTTAATAATTCAGCATATAACTTTAATGCCTGCACAGGAGCTCGGTGCTGGAAAAGTTAAGGAGATAAAGTCAGCATCACCAAATGTGTTCATTTAAGAAAAATCTGCATACTTGTTTCTAGGGATGTTCTTGAGAATACAGTGTGAACAAAACAATGTCCCGGTGGCCTCATGAAGTTTATACTTTAGTGCAGTGGTTCTCTACATCTGTGCTTTTCAACTAACATCCTGGAGACTTTTTTTGGTCACAACTAAGGGCTGGTGGTGAGGCTTACTACTGGCACACGCAGGTGGAGGCTAGGGAGCTACTTGCCATCCTACAGTGCCCAGGGAAGCCCTCACAACAAGAAATTACCTTGTCTCATTGACAAGTATCTTGTCAATAGTGCTAAGGTTGAGAGCCCCTGATTTAGTGAAAGCTAAGATAAAATTCAAGAAGTAAAAGAAAACAAGTGTTACTTACCTTCACCATTCCACGGATCATGGTGCAGTAGGAGTGTGCATTTTTCTCTGGCATTAGAGCAAAGATCCTTTCAGCATTGTTTTTTGCTCTGGACACAAGAGAGTAAATGTGAACCAGGGAATACAATTTATTGAGAGTTTATAATAGTCCAGGCACGGTGATAAGCACTTCAGGCATGTAATTTCAAAAAAATACTGCCACCAAATAGGGAAGTATGGTTGTCATTCAAAAACCAGAACACCTAAGACTCAAACAGTTATCCAAGGATTTACAACTAAAAGGTGGAACCAACACTGAACAGCAAGTTTTGTGAAAAATAAATATGTATTCAAGGTACTGACCCATACATAAACAGGACCCACTGTAAAGTTTCTTCACACCACTCAATCATACACAATTCCTGAGGGGCAACCAGACAAGTAGTGTCTCCTGAAAGTTGCTACATTCTATCATCACATTTACAACACATTTATTAAAAATAAAGGTACCAAGTTATACTAACTTTTCCCTCTTACCAATGCATCTTGGAAATCCCATAGAACCAGTAGCTGCGCCAGGATGGCATTCTAAAGTCTATGTACTTATCTAGTACATGAAATTATTCAAAATTTACTAAAATCTTTTTAATTTATCAAAACTGACTTTAAGTATTAATGGCAGCTTTTCTTCTCCCTAAACACAAGTAAAATACCTTTTTTTTTTTTTTTTAAAGATTTATTTATTTGTACATACAGAACTGGGGTACAGGCCAGAGACTCAGGGGCAGTGAGAGACTTCACCAGAGACAGAGTGGGGAGCAGAACAGGCAGATCAACGAAGTACACTGCTGAGGGGAGCAGTGGGGCGGGTCAGGAGAGGTCTGCCACGCCATGTGGTCTCCTCCGGGGCAGGCGGGAATCGAACTCATGCGGAAGTGGCTTTAGCTTCTCAGTGCAGTGCTTTAACCTGCTGCGCCACCAGGGAGGGCCAAAATACCTTTTTTAAAAGCCAATACTGCTCAGTTTATTTAAACTAAGTTTATTCTCCAGCATTAAATGCTATTGTTCTTTTGTTCAGAAGTGCTGAATACTTACGTTTCCTGGTTAGTACTTTTAACTTAGAACTTTAGAACTACATTCTAGTATCTATGAATTCTTGTGTAATCAAAGATATTGAATACTTTAGAATTCAATAACTACAAGGTCGGACTACTGACCAAACTGTTAAATTATGCCACATGAAGGCTGCACAGATGTTAAATGGGAAAAAATCAAGTGTTAATTTTTGCTTCTGGTCAGGGTAAAGATCATATGCACAAAGTCTAAACACATGAGTGCCAATTGCAGCACTTAGATAGCACACTACAAACTATTTTAGATTATCACAAGATCACATTATTTTCCAGAGGTTGGAGGGAACATTCCATGCACCATTAAGAAGCCAGAGTAGGGGCCCTCCCTGGTGTCACAGCAGGTTAAAGCACAGCACTAAGAAGCGAACACCACTTTAGCATGAGTTCGATCCTGCCCCGAAGGTGACCACATGGCGTGGCAGACCTCTCCTGACCTGCCCGCTGCTCCCCTCAGCACTGTACTTTGATAATCTGCCTGTTCTGCTCCCCACTCTGTCTCTGGCGAATCCTCTTTTTGCCCCTGCACTTCTGGCCTGTACCCCAGTTCTGTATGCATAAATAATCTTAAAAAAAAAAAAAGAAAAAAAAGGAAAGAAACCAGAGCATAAGGTTCTATGTAACATACCGCCAAATAACACCATGTGACTGATGTGAAGCTGCCTTCTTAGGTTTCTCACGGTTTTCCTCTGTGGTCTCTTCCTGAAATGAGCCATCATCAAAAGAAACAAAAACATGATAATAAAATGCATTTTCCTAGTCATATTATACAAATCAAGAATTCAAAGAAAACTTTTGGGGAAAAAATAACAGTTCAAACAAAAAAAATAGGTAACCCAGTAAAGACTTAAGTCAGCATACTTACAGTTCATGAAAAGTCAAACTGGCCCTTGCATCAACAACTGGCAGCATGGTGATGGGCTACTCTGTACAGCTCAGCCCAGCAAGGGTGAAAGGAAATCCAAATAATTTACCTGCTCCCTCAGAGGCTACATCTGCCTTGACCCATGCAGTATTCATTAAGATAAAAGCAACAGAAGACAACCTATCTTGGTATGGAATACAGCTGGTGTCCTAGCATTATCCCAATACAAACCATGATTTAAAAAAAAAAAAAAAAAAAAACAAAACAAACCTAAATCTTGCCCTGTATTTATAAACCAAACTCTGGGGTGAGGCTGATGTTGCCCAGGTCAGGGACAGCTCTGTAATGGGCAAGAGGGTAACAGAGTCAGTCAGATCTCCTCAGGATCTAGGAGATATTCTGGAAAAGTAGGGCAGGACAACAGCCACTGCCTATACACTTTGAAAGATTTAATTACTTTGTATAAGTGATCACATTTAGTGGCAAAGATGAGAAAAGCTATACCCAAAGAAAACGCCCATTAACCCCATTACCAAAAAACACTGGTTTTCTTCCTTACATATCTGAAATTTTTTTAATACAAGGGAACAACACATGCACACCTACACTAATACCCTCAATACCCGCATGACACATTTACAACTGACTGACTACTGGACATCTAGCTCTTACTTCCAAGATTTTCAAATTTCTAAGTATGAGGATCATGACAAATATCACATAAACATCTTTGTTCACCTGATCAAAGGTTTCCTAGGGATCTATTTCTGAAAATGAAATGGGTTTAGAAAAAGGCTGCCAGCAGTACATACATGCCAGCCTTTGGCACAACACTAACCCAGGAAAGGGGCTCACTCAGGCTGCCTAAATTGTAAATATCAGAGGTCTAATGTCATTCCACACCATACTGTCACTATAAATAGCAACAAAGCAGCCTGCCCAAACTTGTCTGGCCCAAGCTTTGTCTACATGTGGTATAAGCAAGATTAAAACAAAGGAAACCAGATTAAAACACTTGTTCAAATTCCTCTCTTATTCCATACCACCTGTTATCAAGACCACATCACACCTCAGAATAAAACTTTACCTCCCTAACACATGGCACAAGAACCTGCCTTAACTCTGAGACGATATTGCTATCAAGAGAAACTTAAAATCACTGCCAAAAGTCATTACCAAGTCCTCTGATTGTTCACGTTGCTGAAAATGATACTCAGCTGAGGGTTCTTGGTCACCATAGTAACATAACAAATCCAAGAGACTGTTGGTTGTTTCCAGAGATACAGTGGTTCCTGTGGGTAGGAGTGAATAAAGGGGAAATGTTTTGATATCGAAGAACTATACAAAGAAAGGTATAAAGACACTGAAAAACTACAACCCCTTAACTAACTTAAAACTTCTCACATTTTGTGTGAGCTGTGGCTTTTTGGCTACCTATTCAGCACCACCGAACCATTTTATCAATATACAGAATATTCATTCCACATTACCTGGTGGATGCAGGCAAGAATATAAACCGTATTAGCCATGTGGCTTGCAATAAAAGATTTAAAATCCAACACGAAGCCTGATTCTGTCCGTCCTTACTTTATGTTTATGGTTTTAACTTTTCTCTTCAAACTGAACACTGCAAATAATGCCACTTAGCACCCCTGACCCTTTTTAAAAATGCAAGAACTACTCCATTTGGATCTAGGCCTGAAATCCTTGCATAGAAATGCTAGTATAAATGTCCAAATATGGTAGGTAGTCTTTAAAATTACTCAAAACATGATACTCTCATCTTGACACAGAAAAAAAATGAACAGAAATAAATGAAATATAACTTAGTGCTTTAAAAGTAACTTTTTTCCCTAAAGAAAACGTAACTAATAAACACATTCATCAAGAAATTTAAAAACCCAGGAAAAAAAAAAGGATGACAAAGTGAAGAGGACCCAGGCTATAGAGTGTTATCATTCTAGAGCTGTGTTACCTTGAAAATTTATAGTCAAGTCTCCTTTTTAAAAGTAGCAATAAAGCTAGTTCTAGTTCAAACTATAAGCTGTTGTTGAATTAAGCCTATGAAATACCTAGCAAAGTGCTTGGAACTTACTGTGGCTTGACATAAAAATGCTTCCCTTCTATGATTCTGGGTTTTGGACCTGATACAACTGTCTGTACAAATGTTTATTCTGAATGCACCCCCATTTACATTCACAGTGTACAGAACCAAAGGAAAATTAAGTATTAGTACTAAGAACTTTAATGAAAACGTACACCAGATGTTTATTCAACAAGCAGAGGGGAAAAGTCTGCCTACAGTATAATTTGCATCAGTAATTTATCTATATACCTGGTACAGGAATTGGCTACAAAATTCTAAAATCAAACACAGCTTTCTCCGAATGTTTCTTCTTTTGTTCAAAATTGTATGGGTTAATTCAGTCCAGTTTCTACTTCTTGTATGTTTGAGTGAATTTTATACTCTATTACTAAACAGCACTCTGTATTCCATAAATTTAAACAATGCAGCAGCCTTCAGTGTTATTACAGGTACATTCTCACAGCAGTTCATGAGCCATGCATGTTAGAGCTCTACCCCTGGAGGGTCATCCAGAGCAAATTCAGAGGGTAAAAGAGTAGTTTAAGAGACAGAAGCTCTGAAGAACTAAGTGATTTTTTCTTCTCAAAATCACAGGCTTATTAATGCCAGAACAAGAACAAGCAGGCAGATTTACTACATTTTCCTTCCCATAATTTACTGATTCTCCTTTTGTAAAATTTTCCTTCTTGTCCATTATGTGCCTTCTAGGCACACTTAAAAGAGTATAAAAAATAAGAATAGTTATGTACATACCTGTTAAAAAGAGAGGCTAAAGAGTGGCTACATAATATATAATCAACCCATTATACCATAAAAAAAGAACAAGAAACTAACAAAGTTGCAACTCTATCCAAGGTATAATTTTAAAAAGTAAAGCTGAGCAGGAAATTTTATTACACTATTAAAAATATAAACATGGTTAAGAGGCAGATTAACTACAGATGTACTGGTAACTTTTACTGACAACTAACTGGATCATGTAACTAGAGCCACCGGCAAGCTCAAGTTCCCAGAGGGGTTTTAAATGAACCTAGTCACCTGCTTGCAAGAGCTGATCAAACATGTCCACAGAAGCTTTGACTTTTTTGAGCCTGATTCTTTCTTTCAGAGCATCTTCACTTATATCTTCAATCTGAGGTTCAAAGTACTCAGGCATTAAACACTGGGGAAACAAGATGGCTAGCATCAGTATAAACAGGTAAAGGTGAAAGGATAACTGAGTAGGAAAAACTTTTCTATCACCAACATACCTAAACCAGACTCCACTGTTCTATATTTCATAAAACCAACACCACTTTATTTTCAGGATTATTGAAGGTTATCTCCTACATTCCTTAGGAGGGAGAATTCAAAAGCATCCAAAACACGGGCCTCTCTGGTGCAGGGTTATGTCAGCACTATGAAGCTATCAGCAGCTGCTGCAGCACAAACTGGAGCCCTGGCCAGGGAGCTGACGACCCACATGGTGCAGCAGACCTCTCCTGTCTCATCCACTGCTCCCTTCTGCAGTATATTCCAGTGTATCTGCCTGTTCTGCTCCCTACCTCCCCACTCTGTCTCTGGTGAATTCTCTCACCTATATCCACCCCCACTATTATATGCATAAATAAATGAATCTTTAAAAGAGATCCAAACAAATATTTAATGCATATCTGAAGAATCCCATTTCCAACTTCATTTCCCAACTTAAAACTAAACATTTTTCCTGCTAAAACCATAGTTCTTCCTCTTTTCCTTCTAATCTTGGTTAAAAGTGCTAGCGTGGCCCTCCCTGGTGGCGCAGCGGGTTAAAGCACAGCACAAAGAAGCTTAAGCCACTTCCGCATGAGTTCGATCCCCGCCTGCCCCGGAGGTGACCACATGGCGTGGCAGACCTCTCCTGACCCGTCCGCTGCTCCCTTCAGCAGTGTACTTCGTTGATCTGTCTGTTCTGCTCCCCACTCTCTGGTGAATCCTCTCACCCTTCGCATCTCTGGCCTGTACCCCAGTTCTGTACAAATAAATAAATCTTAAAAAAAAAAAAGTGCTAGCGTATACCTGCTTTCTAAAGCAGAAATTTTCATTCTTGATGGTTCTTTCACTTCAAGTATTTAACAGCATCAAGAGAAGATGATTTTAGCTCAGCTATTTAATCATGTATGTGTGCATGCCTTCTACTTTACATCAGGTACTAAGTTAGGCACTGGGGATACAGAAAGTGACAATACCTCAAGGCACTTACTAAAGACTAAAGGAGAAAGCAAATTAGGAAATAAGTAGGCTACAGATGAATGGCTAATGACATATCGTAGAGGTAACAGGTGCAGTCTGCCCTAGAGGCAGGGCCGACTTGGGATGGTTCAAGGTAAAGCGAGCCAAGCACTTTGAAAGGGAGGTAGGAGAAGGGGACAAATCATTGTTCTGCTTCTGCCACTGTCTAGTTCAGGATTTCAATATTTTAATCCATGCAAAGGCATTGGCTTCCTAAATTATCAGTAGCAGGAATCACTGCTTAAGAAGCATAAGGGATGTGTCTGGGTTTGTGTTTTGGGGAGTAGGGAATATGAAAGGGATCAGCTTTTAGACAGTAAATTTGGGGTTACTATTTCCATTAATAAATTCAAGAAGGGCAAGCAGATCTGTATGAAAGCACTAAGTACAATATCCAACTGACAGCAGGCATTGCACAAATACCCACGCTTCGTGACTACAGAACAACGAGGAAGCTGGAGAAATATTTCAGATTTCAAAGTAGAGGAATCTCTTCTTTGATACTCAAGAATGCCAAGTGGAAGGCCAACTTTAGGTAGGTGCTCTTGGGGAGAGTAATTCACATGTAACTAAGACCCTAGGCCTCAGTTGTGACTTGATCGTGTGACAAGTTCACTCTAGGAATCTGCATTCTGTCCACACTTGCCTTCTCTCAGATCAACTTTTCTCTTCCTCTTTGTTCGAGTAATTGAGTCAGGAATCTTCAGATAGGAGAAAGAGAAAGGGAGTATGGAAATCTAAGAAATCAATACTTAAGGAGTAGCTAGAATGAAACTGAAAAGGAAACTAAAGGAGAAAAGATTGGATTCTGGTGCCACAGAAAAACAAATGGGTAAAAAAGATGAAAAGTAAATTACACAGAAGAAACTAAAAAAGCTTAATATTGTGAGCAAAGGTGACGCTACACATTAAAAGACTTCACCCAAATATTGAAACATTCAAATCGCTACTCAAATATTAATCATTAAAATCTGGATTCATATATTTTATACATATATTTTTACAGTATTATCTGAAAATCAGTACCTCTCCTTACCGGTATATGAGGTTCAGCTATGTCCTTCTGAAAATATTTGGGATGTGAATTAATAATAAACTTGGCTGCATTCTCCCCAGACTTCTTTGCTAGTAAAAATGAACGCTATATGAAGAAAAAGATTAGATACCGGTGTTTCTATGAAAGCACTACGATACAAAATATCAAAATCACATCCCTCACTCTCACTCACACACACCCCCCACTTAAAAAATATGTATCACAGTTCACAGAAAACTAATTAGAAATTTAATTATGTAATATCCACCCTTGCTACTGTGTGTAAAATTTCAGTTCTTATCTATAGTCTGAGCTATAGGAAACCTATGCATTTGAGCCAAGTGGTGGTATTACAAAGCAAAACCAAAAACTCTCTCCACAGCCAGTCTCTAAAAGTTTTTGAGAGAAGTTAACTTTTCAAAGGTTCTATTTATAATTTATATCACAAACTCTTTTACTCAAACCAGCAATATTAAACTTAAAACTAGAAAGATTACTTGAAAATACTCACAGATTCCACAGAGGATGTTGGTATCAGGTAAGGATCATCATGAAATACATAAGGGAGAGCTGTAGCATCCTGTGGGGAAGACACAAAGTCTCTTTGGCTTGATTTTTAGTATGAGAACCTTGCAAATTTTATGAGGATAAAAATTCTGAGTTTTAATTATTAATGTGCAGAAAAATACATTTTTAAATTAGTGTATATGTATAAAAAAACCAACACCTATCCTGATTTTCAGTTTTGCAACACTTGGTAATAATTATGCACAACTTAAAACAGTGGTACAGATCCCACTCCTTAAAATCTGAATCTATCATGAGAGGATACTGCTTTCTAAACTCTGGGTAGGGCCTTCCCTGGTGGCACAAGGGGTTAAAGCACAGCACTTCGAAGCAATCTGCAGCCACTCTGCACTCCAACCCAAAGATCCTTTCCATTATTTCTACTCAAGGAACCTGTCACAAGTTTGGCCAATCAGCTCCTTAATACCCCTCCCTCCACTGTCCCTTATCCCAACTGCCAATGCTTTAGTTAATATTCATCTCGTCAATATTATTGAGTACCTCTTATGATTTAATCAAACAACTTTCCAGTTAATAGGGAGCTGACAAAAATCCCACCTCCTGATAGACCTTAAATACTTTAGTAAGTTAAAAGATTACTATGCAAAACAAAACAATAGTAGAAAAAAGGAGAAAAAGTTTCAGAAAATATCAGGAAAGGTAATAAAGGAAAGAGACTATCGGAGGGAAAGGTATTCCATGCATTAAACATTTCAAACATAAACATTAAACATACATTCCAAACATAAAAGCCAAGTGGCAAGTATGTGCCTGGAAAGAAACAGAACTTGCTAGGAGGCCTAGAGTAGTAAGCAAGAAAGAGAGCAGGGAATTCATTATAAGGGCTGTGGGCAGACACAGAAGAAAGCGTCTGTGTGAGATACCATATAATGTGTATGCGATTGTGTAGGTTCTTAGGAGGCTTCATAGAGACTTGTTTTTAACCCCAATTATGACAAGAGAAGTTACTTTTGCATTCTAAGCATAAAAGTGAAATGGTTCTGTAAGAAGTGGAAGTAATTATAATACAGGATATATGTTGGTAATATGGTCACAATTTTAAAATCGTGTAGAATAGAGCTAACAAGTCTGAAATTTCTTAGAAAGGCCTATTTTTGCAAGGTTGGCGTCTGGGAAGGTAGATTCTGGCACCGTTCCCACCATTTCCAATAAAAATGGATTCAATATGACACAGTTGGACATTGTGGTTTATGCTAAATACCTGCTTCCCTTTTGAGAGTCTGATAGAGTTGTCTTTGTAACCAGATTACCAAAAAAACTCCAGTCCCTAGTGAGTTTTCCTGGCAGACAATTCTCTTGCTGGAAGTTTAATGATCAATAGTATTATTGTACGAGAAAAATAATGAATTTGGAGACAAAACACATGGAACTATGCCAAGGCTTTAATATCCTAATCAGGCCCAGGGTATTCACTTTAAACGTTCTAGATCCACAACAGTTAAGTTTTGGATAATGAAGAGGTATGAACACTAAGTGTATTATTAGTTGAGCGATATATACATAAACCCTATATTCTTACTTACCCTATTTACTGTGGACGCAAGTGCCTGAAGAACAGCCACTTTATCCCTAAGAATGAGAATCACAAGTTAACCTTCATTAGGTCTTTTCACACAAAGCCAACAAGTGATTCCACTCTCAGAATGGATTGGTCAGTTAAAAAATTCTGGTCCTAAATGAAGCTGGTTCTCTCAAGATAACTAGAACAACCAGAAGTTAGAAAATAGGAAAACCATCTAGTCTTTTGCCTAAAGGTGCTTGGTACACATTCCTATGATGTTCTGTCTACCCTCTCTGGTCAATGTAAAAATACCCTACCCTGCGCCAGTGATTTACATCCTCACCTGTCCTACATCGTACATCCTCTTAGCCATTCCCCTATGCATTTTCTGAAACTTCTTGGGATACTCTTAATTGGTGGTTCTTAATTCCACTATTGATGTGAATAAACCACAAGTCGCACTTTGGATATATTGAAGAAGAACCTCCAAGTACCATGATTCTTAGCAAGTTCCCAGATGATTCTGATGTACCAATATGGCTTAGAACCTTCCAAACAGACCCTTTAAAAGAGTTTCAGACCAGATGTCCACTGGGCCTATGGTAGGTCTACTGACCTACCAAAAAGGAAGTTTCAATGGAATAATTTCTGTTGAACTTTGTTTTTTAAAGTTACATTTATATAATTTTAGCAAGAACACATTCACTGACATAGATGGTCTCTAAATTTTACATATTGAAATCATCAAAATTACACATCTAACATAATAAACAAATGCCAATGACAAAATTATGATACTCAGATTACTTAAGTTATTTTAAAAATGTTAATAAATCTTTCTTAAAAACAAATTACAGCATTGCAGGTTATGCTAAACTGTCCATTGTCATCTCCATGACACCCACCCCCCATCTAGCCTATTAAGTTTGGATTATTTCCAAAACATTTGTGGAATTCTTATACACCTTCATAAAAAACATATATTGTTATTCTGTATGTTTATATAAGCATTATTCTTCTACATACAAACCTAATTCCTTTAAATGTTTTATAACTACCAAAACTCTCTGGAATGTAAGCAAGTATGCCTCCAGAATGGCTAGTTGGTAAACTATGCCCATTTTAAATTGTGATTTTTGCAAAATTCTCTTTAAATTATTGTTCTGATGGACTGCCATATCAACAAGTATATTTGAACACCCATGTGTTCACATCCTCTTCTTTGCAAACCTGGCCAAAGTTTAATATCCATTTCTTTCATGGGCTCAATTACCTATGTATGCATTAGTGATACCTGGGCCCCAAACTAATTACAAAAGGTCACCTCTTTGAAACACTGCTTTTATAATGTCACATTAATATTATGAAAACTCACAATGACTAAGTTAAAGTCTACTGTGGCACCTGAATGAACTGGGTAATCACAACCTCACAGGATGCTTCATACCAGAAATAAGATAACAAAACTTGTATTCCTTATGGTTTCTTCTAGATCTGATGCATAAATCCCTGAGCCTGGCAATTAGAACCTCTCTCTCAAGGATTACACACCTTCTCTACAAAGACACCTTCAGCTTTATGGACTATCTGCAACTACTCAGTTCTAAGTGAAACATAAAAAAAGTAGTTATAGACAATACTGACAAATGAGTGAAATTGTGCTCCAAAAATTTTTAACTGACATTGAAACACAAACTCTTCAAGTATTATAGTCTTCTTTCAACTGTTTTCAACTACAAAAAGATATAAAAATTATTGGCTCACTGGTTGTTAAAAAAAAAAAAAAACGGCCATAATTTGCTAACTAACATTCTATGTTAACTACCTTATTTTCTCTAACTCACAGAACATTTTCACAAGTCTGACTATACCTGGCCTCCCACCACTAGATATATCATGATCACATCTTTATGACCTTACTGCTCCTTCTGTCCTGTCTGTAGGTGTCATGTAAGGGTTTGTAAGAATTAATTTCAAGAATAAGCATTTTAAACAAAAGCTTCAGGTTATTCTGATGCCAGTTAAATAATCTTAGTCCTTTTAAGGTGTAAGTTAATTCTACACTTTCAATAAAACTCACCTTGACTAGTCCAATTCAACCTCTCTTGGTCATATCACAACCTATGTCGCCTCTAGACATGTGTATGGGATCATGTACACTTAGATCTATAATGTCTAATGTATTAAAAAAAGTAAACAATGTATGTCATCTGCCTACACCCTTCAAATGCTCTTTTATGTATTCCCTATTTTACCTGTTTCAGGAATAGGTATTCTGATGACTAGAAAAATAATTAAAACTTCAATGCCATTCAGTAAAATGCCTTGTGCACAGATAGATAGATACCTATTTTTATCTTGATTTGATTCTTAGGTAGGCCAGGGAAGACAGAAGTGAAGATGAATATATTCACATAATAAAATATAATAGAGCATAAGACAGAACATCTACAAAACTATACACATAAAATTGACATAAAAAAGAAACGTTATAGGGCCCTCCCCGGTGGCGCAGTGGGTTAAAGCACTGCACTAAGAAGCTAAAGTCACTTGAGCATGAGTTCAATCCCCACCTGCCCCGGAGGTGACCACATGGCGTGGCAGACCTCTCCTAACCCGCCTGCTGCTCCCTCATCCATCCGTCTGTTCTGCTCCCCACTCTGTCTCGGGTGAAGCCGCTCACCGCCCCTGCACCTCTGGCCTATACCCCAGAGGTGCGTGAACAAATAGATCTTTAAAAAAAAAAAAAAAAAAAAAGTTATATCCCAGAACATTAAAATAACTACTATTGTCTCTTGAGATCTATCTATAGGCAGTCATTGTTCAAAGGCTCAGTCAATCCTTTGAGTAGGAAATTAACCATACTGTGCTATGATACAGATTAAGAAACTTATTTCTGACTAGTATGACTGCTGGTAATTTTCTTCACTTTTTTTTTTTAAAAAGATTTATTTATTTATTCATATAGAACTGGGGTACAGGCCAGAGATGCGGAGGGTGAGATCTATCTATAGGCAGTCATTGTTCAAAGG